CAGTGTATAGTTTGCTGCCTCTGTGTTCACCTGTTTCATCACAGTGCTTCTCAGGCCTCAGGTGACCTCTCTTATTTGTCCATAAGCTTATTGGGGTGTGTGCTGTCTGCTTCTGTCCCCTAGAGCTGAGTGAGTTCCTTGAAGGCCAGGCCCGCCTCTTAGCAGCGGTGCCCAGCAAAGCCGCCTGGCTGGCAGGAGGTTTGTCAGCACACACGGTGACCTGCTGACTTCCTCAAGGCCATGTTTAGTGGTACAGCACATCCCGTCAGATTCAGTTCATAATTCAGCACTGGCCAGCCTGACTCCCAGGGCTGTTCTCACACCTGTGTGGGGTTTGTGCTGTTTAGGGGCAGGGCAAGGTGCACCATCTTGGCCTCATTTGTTTGTGCAGCTGTTCCAGAAACTGCCCAGATGCTTTTCCTGGCTTTTCAGTGGTACTGCAGCCCAAGTCCCAGTGGGTAGCCCCTCCTGGGAGCAGCTGCCCACCTTCCAAGAACAGAGACAGCTGCCCCAGGCCTAGAAGCAGCACCTCCCATCCACAGGTTCCCTTCACCCTGCTCTCCTGGGTCAGTGGACAGGAGTTGGGGCTGGTTGTTTGTGTGTTCCAGGGCAGGTGACCAAGGAACCTGAAATTGTTCATGGGAAGCAAGGGGGGCAAGAGAAGGTTCAAGAAGTGATGACAAAGTCTCAAGTCTTCATTCCCTTGAAGAGAAAGAAGACTGCCAGCAAGGAGTGCCGGGAAAGATGACCCAGGCATACAGTTGGTCAACATTTTAATTATAGGTCTAAGGGGTGTGGTTGCCTAATGAGCCTTTGCTCACGTGTGCTGCAATGTCCGCCTCTGAGCTGGCCCCTGACAGACTGCTGGGCACTCTCCCAGGCTCCTTGAAGCTCCGGTGAGGGCAGCCTGCCTGCCCACCAGCCGATGCGGTGCCGAGCCAGCAGCACCGCGGGCCCTCACAGCCGCAGGTACCAGTCTGGTGCGCCTCTGTCCGTGGGTGGTGCTGGACAGATGCCGCTGGGGGTGCTGAGCCAGGGCAAGCGGTGGGCTCTTCCAGAAAGGCTTTCTGCTTTGACTGATCTGAACTTGTTGACATCCTTTCTGGTCTGGATGGGATTTACAGCCGGTATGTTCCACCTTGTTTGAGAGCGGGAGGAGCCCCGCTGTACGGTGCCCTCTCTGGGTCAGTTCTTAGTTATTGTGTTGTTATTACCAGTACTTGCTCTTGAACAAGTAGGACACATTTTTGAAGGCAGGGCAAGGCTGTCTTTCATGCCCCAAACCTCCTCCTCCCCTTCTGGTTCTTCTTTCCTGCTGTGGCTTCTCAGATGCTGTATTGCTCCTGCCAGAACCCATTTCCAGGCAACATGAATATTAGTCATTTGCACTGTAGTGTAAATAAGTTTATGTGAGTCAGTCTTTGTATTGTGATTTGGGACTAAGCTGCTGTGCCTACTGTTTAAGGCATTTAGGGCTTCTGGGCAGGTATAGGAGGGATTTTCAAGGTGGGGGAAGATCCTTTACCTCTAAAATAATACCTAGGCCATGACTAGCTATTCAGGCAGTGACCCCAGATAATAATAATTTTAAAAAATGCATTTAGTCCCTTGTCCTGTTTCAGAAGATTAGATGTTCAGTTGTTGGCAAGAGAACCCAGTGTTCTCCCAAGTAGTCAGTGTCAGAATGGAATTGGATTGTGGGACACCCGGTTGTCTCAGAACTGGCTCCGGTGTGGGAAAAAGCCACACATTTGATGTCAGAAGTGTTGTGGATGAAAAAAAAAAAAAAATGCTTTATCCGTCAACCAAAGGGCAAAGTTATCTAGAGACACAGAAAGCTGGCCATGGTGTGGAGAGACAGTCCCTTTCTGTGTCTTTCATTGGCTAATAGTGACTAAGGAAGAGGGAGGTCAGAGTGCTAAGCCTCGTTCGTCCTTTCCAAGTCCACGGAAACAGCATCCCGTTGGTGACCGTGTCATGTCTTCCGAGGAAGCTCTGACTATCCTGAAACCTTCCGACCCCCAGCCTTGGTAGGAAGCCCACGGCGACCTCCAGGCCCCGCAGCGTTTCTTAGGGCCCATTACCTTAGCAGTGACCCAGGCCATTGGCGGAAGCAGCTGTGCAGCTGGCACAGCGCACCCCTGGCCTGGGGACTTGGCTCCAGCTGAGCACCCTCGTGGGGCCAGGCGGAGAAGGCCTCCTGGGCTCGGGCCCACACGAGGGCAGCTTCACCACGGCACCAGGAAGACTTGAAGGAGCATGTCTGTGTCTGTTCAGGCTCCTGATGCCAAGATGCCAGTTTGGTTTGCAGATGTCGTGTCCTCATGCCACTCCGAAGAGGGCTGGTTTCTAGGAAATCCAGCTGGTTGTATAGTTCATGCATTGTCCTGAACAGAGCCTGCCAGCTTAACTCCGTCTGTTGTCAGGCCCTTCCCAGCGCCACCCTCTCCCACTCACAAGCCTCGCCCCTACTTCAAGTAGAACACACAGACCCAGTAGGCTTCCTTTGTGGACTCATGGGTATTAGTCATCTTCCTCCGAAAGTCCTTCTCTGTGTTGGCAACAGTCAAAAAGAGGGACACCTGGAGAGAAACAGGGTTTCCGGACCCTCCTCCCTGGCACCCTCTCCACCTCCTGTTCATTTTCATCCTGGCCCCCCTCAGCTGCTGTCAGGGTCCACCACCCTCTCCCTTCCCAAAGCAGAATCAACTTCCCCTTCCTTGGGTCCCACTGCCGCTTTCTGTATTCATCACAGTGCTGCTGGTTTTGTTGAGTTAGAATTTACGGTATGTGACTTCTGACAGCCCAAAATATGTTTGTCAAATATTTACAGCCAGTTCACATTCACCACAATCGAGGTGGGACAGAATTGCCCCTGAGAACTTCTGCGCCCTCTTGCAGTCACAGCTCTCTTCACCCCAGCCCCTGGCAGCCACTGACCTGGTTCCCCCAGGGCTTCGCCCTTGCGAGAATATGCACACGGATGGGAGAGGGTGCAGCCTTTTCAGTCCGGCTCCTTTCGCTCAGCATAAGGCATTTGCTGTGTGTATCAGTGGTCCATTCCTTTCCACTGCTGAGCACCCATAACTTTTTATCCATGTATCTGCGTGGCTGACTCTGTATCCCCAGCCCACAGAGGAGGCACAGGACGGGGTGCGGGGCCAGGGCAGCTGTGCGCTGACAGTGACGGTCCTTGATCCTCTCTGCCTCGCCAGGAGGGCCGAAGTGTCTGCCTGGGCAGCAGAGCCCCTGCAGAAGTCTGGCCCAGCCTGGGCTCCAGCTCTCCAGGGTCCTGGCTACTCCCTGCTCAGGCTCTTGTTCAGCAGGCGACCTGGAGAGACGCCCAGGGCTGGGTGGGCTGGCTTCTTGTAGTCCACTTCCACCCTCAGCTTGGTGTTTGTGGTGGGCAGGGTGCCAGCACTTGCTGGGGGCTTTGGTGGGTTCTCTGTGGATCCCCAGGCCCTCCGTGCCTTGAATTACTGGGGGTGTGTACAGGTAGGTCCTGTCTCCTCCCCCTAGGCCCGAGAAGCCATCTTTGGGCCTTGTTTTCACTGAGTCACAGCTGCCGAGGCTCGTTAGTTAAAAATAGGCTGGGCATGTGCACCCTGTGACAGGCCTCCCCACCCCAGGCCGACACTGGCGTGCTTATGTAAATATTTGGAGGAGCTTGAGGTTGGGGATCATTCCTGTTCCAGGATATTCTTGCTTTGACTCCTGGAACAGTAAGGGGAGGGTGGCGGTGGGGAAGTGAGGGCCAGCACATGTTAGAAACACTCGGGGTAGCACCATTATTTGGGAGGTGGCTGGAGTTCAGGGTGGGTCCTAGGAGCCCCTGGAGGCGGTTGGTCATTTGCTGTGGTGACAGTTGCTCAACTATAAATCCAGAGTTTGACACCAGACTGACCAGCGTTGTTCAAACCACAGTTCCACTCCTTGCTGGCCCATGGTCTTGGACACATTTCAGGACTTCTCTGAGTGCCAGCTTCTGCCTTGTACGTTATCTGCCCGCTGGGGTGATTGTGGGCATTAGAACGATCACGTGTGTGAAGCGCCCAACAGGGCCCAGCACAGCAAAGGCCGTCGTTTAGTGGCAGCTTCTGCTGTGGGCACCTCTAGTCTTGCCAACTGCTTTGCCAGCAAACATCCCACCTTTGCATGGGACATCTGAGGAAAGAATTCGAGTTTTTGAAAGAAGGACACAGGTGTGTCCAAATGCATGTCCAGGACTCTGTCCAGGGTGGCTCATATCTCCTCATCTTTGTTGGCTTCAGCCACTACAGTGTCCTTGAATCACACCAGCAACTGCCCAAGTAGGGCTAGTAACTAGGGACTCACCAGCCGCAGGAGGACAGTAACCGATCTTAAAATAGAAGTGTCCCTTGACTGGTTCCGAGGGCTGTGCAGGCCCTTGCCGAAAGGCCCGGCAGAGCTGGACGGGGGCATCTGGAGCTGCAGGCCTCCCGAGAGGCAGGCCAGGCCTTCCTTGGTGCAGACGCCTGAGGGTATGTGTCCTGTCGCCCGCTGCTCCTGGCCAGAAGTTGCTGAGCAGCCCTCAGAGAAAGCGAGCCTGGGAGGATGTGGGGAGATAGGGATCTGGTGGTGGCCCCCCAGAGGCTTAGCCAGCCAGCGAACTCGGTGGGGTTGGACTGGTTCTGGCCTTGGTTTTGGGGGTGCGGGGCGCCACTGGGGGTGTTTGTGAAGGTGGAAAGTGAAGCAGTGCCATCAAGAGGGGGGTTAGGAGAGGAACTCAAAGAATAGGCCAGGCTATTTGGCTGATCTTGTTTCTTTTAAAGGCCCCCAAACGGGTCGTGTGTCTGAATAGAAGGGTGTCAGCAGCCAACCAGGGAATGCCCCCCGAGCAAGGCCCACCCAGAAAGGTCGAACCCTTCCCGTGGCAGGAAGATGCCCAGACGGGGCAACCTGTGCCCAGAGCACCATTCCCATGTCGTCTTCCCCTTGTGTCTGGGACTGCGTCTTCCATGCTCCTCCTTCCCGTGCAGGCGCCACCGTGGAGTCTGACTGCCGCTGACTGGACCCAGGCGGGCGGCCCGCAGCCTCGCCATGGCTGCCACCGGCGCGGAGAGCCAGCTCCAGAGGATCATCCGGGATTTGCAAGGTACAGCCGCGCACAGCGCGCTGGCTGGAGGGAGCAGGGCTGGGCTTTTGCTGCTGCCTGTTGAAGTTCAGCCCTTTCGTCTGTGTCCACACCGGGGACCATTGGTGCCCTCAGGACACATCATATTGAAATATTCGGGGCTCAGATGGCCATCCTGTGTGGCTGGGAGACCACACTTTGTACACAAAATCAAATACTCCTTTCGGGGCCTGGGTCTGATTTCTGTGTGTGTGTTCTTGGCTGGATCATGGATCTCTGGGCTCTGATGGAGTGGGGAATATTCTCCTTCCTCCAGAGCAGGAAGACCAGATACCTGTCTTTCTTGTTTTGCTGTCTTGCCTTCTTGTGGTGCACAGACAGTCTATTCTGCGCAAACTCCAGTTGTGGGCCTGCTGCCTCCTGGGCATCGCAGGCGCAGCCTTGCCCAGTACAGAGACCCCTGCGCAGGCCCCTCCCCGAGAGGCGCGGCAGGCAGCCTGGGTGCGAGAGCAATGGGGCTGCTTAGGCTGCTGGCTGCGTCTCGGACCCCAGTGCTGCTTTTCAGGTGATGGCCCAAAGGCCAGAGTTTTGGCAGGCTTTCCAGCCCCTGCAGGCCCCCAGGGCTGGGCTTGTAGGTCTCTGGAGCCTCAGTACATTTGATACACGGTCTGCAGCTTACCACTTCCTCCATGTTGCGGAGACCACAGTGACACTCTGCCGACAGATTTTCAGCCCAGGTTCCTAACTGCTCAGACAGGGTTGGCCAACTTCAGTCTCTCCTACACAGGGTCATCGGGCTCGTGGCAGCCGTAGTACAGTCCTCATTCTGAAGGTCACAGTCCATGAGATAAAAATCACTTTCTTGGGCCTGCATCCTATTTATTTGGCTCGTTGGGCCTCCGCTAGCTAGTAATTACATGACGTCCCACATGTGCCAGGCACCCTCCTACCATGTCTTGGGAATAATAACTCACTGAGTCCTCATGTTTGGGTCTGTGAAGTAGGAACCATTATTATTCCCATTTTGCAGATGTGGAAACAGACACAGAAAGGTCCAGTGACTTGCCCAAGGTCATATGTCCAGTTGAGCAGAGCCTGGGCTTGCACACACAAGTGGTGCTCTTCCCCACACCAGTCCACTCCCAGCTGAAATGTAAACGCTTTTTTAAAACAATACACACGCAGAGAAAGTGAAATGCCAATGTCTGTAAATCTGAGTTTGCCACCAGCCTTGAGTGTTTCTCTACCAGTTAGGCAGTCTTCTCCGTCCAGGTCTGGTTTGGGAGGAAGACAGGAGGCTTGGCAGAGCTCCTGATGCAGGGAGGAGACGGGCATTCGCATTTGTTCAGTAGCCTTTTCCAGGTACTGGCCGCTGGTTGTCCCCAGCATCCCAACACTGACTTACTGTCCCATACCCAGCCCACAGCACTTCAGTGGGAACTCTTAAAGGGCACCACCTTCTCGAGACCTTTTGCATCTGTGGTCACTGTCTTAATAAGCATCCAGCAGATTGATGGCATCTGCCGTGAGTGGCACATCCTTAACTGAGGTGTCCTGTGCAGTGCACGGCCTCCGCTCTGCAGGGCAGCCCACTCATCCTGGTGACAGCAGGCTTTGGTATCAGGCAGGCGGGGACAGCTCGTGACTCCACCTTTTAACTAGAGAGGATGTCCAGCAAGTCCCTCACCTTTCCAAATGCAGTTGCCTCCTTCCTGTGCCAGGGAGGTTTGGTGCCGCCGCCCACTTCTCAAGAGTGCTGGCAGGGCACGTATGTGACTCATGTCAAGTGGAGAGTCCTAAGTAATGCATTTGGATTATCAGAGATCAGTGCTAAAATCTTGACACTTCTTTGCAAAAAAGGCTCTTTCAAAATGTCAGGAGTTCCCAGGTCAGGTTGTGAGCATTGACTCGGCCTGCGAGGGGAGAAGGAAGGCCTTCTCCGGCCCCCAGCTCTCAGTGCTAGCCACAGCAGACACCTCCGCCGGGCACGACGGGGCCACAGCCACGGACAAGGTTCCGTCCCAGAGCCTGTCTTCGCCCTTAGCCGACCTTGGCCCGGGGGTCAGCTCAGGCTCAGGACTGGGCAGACCTGCTCTGTGGCCCTGGTGCTGCAGAGCAGGGCCTGGGGCTCCTTTTCTTTTAGGGATTGTCAGAGCATGTTCTAGCGTCTCAGCTGGGGACATTTTTCTAAGTTTAAACCAAACCCAGCTTCTCTTGGTCCCTCTGCCTCAGCGGAGTCTGTGAGTGAGGGGCCAAGGCGGCGCCCCCTCCTCAGCACCGGGAGGTCGGTTGTCTCAGAAGTCAAGAGGTGCACTGTGGGTAGGAAGGCCCTGGGCTTTCCTGGGGAAACAGGTCCCGGTCTCAGCGGTGCTGCTCGCCACCCATGTGCTGTGGCCGGTGCTCTGGCCTCTGCGGCTCCTGTCTGTGCAGTTCTGCCTTGTTCATTTTCCACACTTTTTTTTTTTTTTTTTTTTATCCTCACCTGAGGATATTTTTCCATTTTTTGTACAGATAGAGTGGGAGGGAGAGAGAGGAAGGGAGAGAGGGAGAGAAACATCGACGTGAAGGGACACATCGAGCGGCTGCCACCCACACGACCAACCAGGGCCAGGGACAAACTGCAACCGGAAGTACGTGCCCTTAGCGGGAACCGAACCCAGGTCTCTCCGGACCGCAGGCCGACGCTCTAACCGCTGAGCCAAACTGGCCAGGGCTCATTTTCCACACTTTAACAGCTCTGAAGTTGGGATCGTCTTAGAATCAGTTGCATCTTAGATTTGTGGAAATAAGGCAATTCCTGCCTCACGGCGCTGTATTACATGAGAAAGACTTGTGGAGACCCAGGCCCTCGTAGGCAAAAGAAGCAGGTAGTGTTGTCGTTCTTGGAGTGTTGCCATCACTGTGTGCACACTCTGGGTCTTCTGGAAGTCTGGACGTCGCTGTTCTGAGCAGCGAGCTGGTAGTGCAGCACCAGACACATGGCCAGAACAAAGGGACGGGCTTTCTGGAAGTCAGCATCGGGGCTGCTCAGTGACTCATCCACACACGAACACGTGGGGACCAGACACTGCATGCGCATCATTCATGTCAAGCCTCCATGGCGGGCCTGCAGGGATGACCCAGAAATGTGCCCACCTAGCGAATTGTTGCAAAGTACCTGTGGGCTCTTGGGACACCTTAGTGCTTCCTACTTAGCCTTTCGTCCCGTGGATGTGGACACAGCACTCGCGTTTCCAAGGTGCTTCGCCATCGTTGACACTGCCTCCTCGTGCCCCCGGGTGGTTCTGCTTCTCTCTCTGAGATCAGTCTGCACCTGGTGACATGTTTCTGTTTGTTGTCTTAAAGATGCTGTGACAGAACTAAGCAAAGAATTTAAGGAAGCCGGGGAGCCCATCACAGATGACAGCACCAGCTTGCATAAATTTTCTTACAAACTTGAGTATCTCCTTCAAGTAAGTGTTGATTTCTGCTGTGTTGTCTTGTTTCCCTCATGGGTGACTCATCAGCATTCAGAATGTAGTCCAGAAGGCCAGCCTGGTCAGACCGAAGGTCAGAGCAGTCCTCACCAAGAGCTCGGGCCTCCAAGTGCCATCCTCTGGGGAATCGTGGTGTTGCCCCTTCAGATGATTTTGGGAATCCAAAACATTCTTTAGAGATTCAGGTCAACTTCAGGCAGGTACAAGGTCCCTGCACTGCAGGGATCTTCGTTTGGGGGCAGTCACATTTCCTTTGAAAGTGTGGTGAAAGCTCTGGACTCTCTCCCCAGACAGACATGCATGTGTGTACACAGCCAATCACATTTTCCAGGAGCACGGGGCCCTCGGAAGACTCCCCAGAGGCCAGCTTTAGAGACTGCCTGCTCAAGGTGTGGTCCATAGACCAGCAGCAGCAGCACCTGGGAGCAGGCTTGACATGTATTCTTGGTTCCCACTCTGATCCCCGAATCAGGATCTCTGAGGTCAGCCCAGGACATTTTCTTTTAACACCCTCACAGCATAGTGGTTGGGTCTGCGCGGTTCATGTGCGTAGGTCTGGAGAACTCTGCAGATGTGGGAAAGGCAGGCGACTACAAAGGAAGGAAGTGGACCGAAACGTTAACAGAAGTCAGTATCAGGCATTATAATGTTTTTTCTTTTCTTTCTGTTTCATCCAGATTTCCTAATGTATATGCATGTCTTCTATAGCCAGAAAAACTGCTATAAAATATTATGTTACAGAAAGATACGCCTATGCATTTGAACACCATTCGTTTGCAAAGTCATTCCCACCGAGGTGTACAGGATGAGATGCCCCCAATGTGTTGAAGGGCCCACCCATCACGTGCCTTTTCAACTGGTTCTCTCTTTTACATTGTGAAGATATTTATGGACCTTTATTTTCTCATGTAGCCCATTTTGATTTTGGATTCTAAAGGACTCATAGCTGACACTTGAATTTATTGTATGTATATTAAAACATTGACACTTGAGTAACTGGGATGAAATGTCACTAACTCATTTCCCTAAGTTGAGACATGGTTAACACACCTCATGTTGGCCAGAAGACTTTTCACTTGTATTTCTTTATCAAAGTTGTTAATAGCAACTTTGGTGGTCTTCCACCCACCCAGCTCTATGCACAGAGGTCCCTTCGAGAGATAAATCTTTTCAGGGGGCACTTCTATTGAGCTAGTTACTTATTCCTAGCCTCAGATTCCTTATCTGTAAATTGGGGATTTAAACACCTTATTTGACAATAAATACAAATAATGCCAGTAAAGGGCCTTGCCCAGTGCCAGGCAACTAAGAAGCTCTTGTTATTATTTTATCATTTAATGAAATGAGCGGCAGTGGGTTTGGACCACCTCTCTGTCCCTTTCCCTACCCAGTTCGATCAGAAAGAGAAGGCCACCCTCTTGGGCAACAAGAAGGACTACTGGGATTACTTCTGTGCCTGCCTTGCCAAGGTGAAAGGAGCCAACGATGGGATCCGATTCGTTAAGTCTATTTCGGAGGTAAGCAGTGGCCAAGGACCCCAGTCTTCCTCTCGTTGGCTTTAAGCATCTCTTTACAGAGACTTAGCTGCAGACAGTCAAGTGAGGAAGTGGGTTTTCTGGGTGGCAGAGAAGTGAGACATCCGTCCAGGTACACTCAGCGCCCACTGTCAGTGCAGGACAGCCACCGCCGAGTTCACCCTGCCGGGCTCTGCTGTTTGGTTTGGACCAACACGCTACCTAACACGGGGAGCTGTTCACACTTGGTCTGCCCATCGGAGGTATATAGCACCTTTTAAAAATACCAGTTTTGCCCTGACCTGTTTGGCTCAGCAGTTAGAGCGTCGGCCTGCGGTCCAGAAAGACCCGGGTTCAGTTCCTGCTAAGGGCATGTACCTCGGTTGCAGTTTGTCCCGGGCCCTGGTTGGGTCATGCGGGTGGCAGCCACTCAATGTGTCCCTTTTACGTCAATGTTTCTCTCTCTCTCTTCCTCTCCCTCCCTCCCACTCTATCTGAACAAAAAATGGAAAAATGTCCTCAGGTGAGGATAAAAAAATATATATATATATATCAGTTTCTTAGATGAAATTCTTAATGTTTGCCAGGCTGTTTTTCCAGAAACCTTGGATTTGAAGTGAAGAGAGTGATGTGGGATCTTAAGAGACGTGAAATGTTGGTGTGCAAGCAGCTCCCACGTTAAGTCCTGAGCCCGAGCAGAATGCCGTGGCTTCGCTGTTTCTCAGATCTCCGAAACAGCCTCCCCCCCTCTTTCTTTCAGCCCCCCCCCCCACTCCTGGTGAATCTCTTTTTCTCTCGTAGGCCTAGTCCATCAAGGAGTAGAGAACTTTACACATTAGGGAGCAAGTAACCCCCTAGATTTAGAGCAGGGGCCTAGAGGGTTTAACATGTCATCTTTTCAGTCTCGTCTGTAAGTTGAAAGACACGTTGAGAGTCAGCAGCCATGCTTCTTGGCTGGCCTCCAGCCAAGTCCACGGAGTCAGGTGCTCCGGGAAGAATGTATTTCCTACCCTGGAGCCAGGTGGGTTTCTTCTTATAGAGAATGACAGTTCGATACGCTGACACTGAGGGCTGGGCATTTTCCACCAGCTGCACCTCTGACATCTGAGACAATGAGGCTAGATCCTGACTGGAGGAGTGTGTTCTGCCGATTTCTTTACTGTCCGCGGAGCGCAGACAGTCTTGTGAGGTGTCGCCTGGTGGGACGCTCAGGTCCAGGATGTGGAGCGGTGTTCAAGGCGTCACAGATCTGGAGGGGTGCCCGTTGCTGCCCTCCTCTCTGTAACCTAGAGGTCTCCGGGCCGCTCGGCAACTAAAGCCTTCAACTGAAGACTTCCAGCAGCTGGAGTCTGGAAACAAATTTAATTTAATCCTCATTGCCCAGCGTTATAAAATGATTACACTTACTTTTTAGCTAGTTCTCATTCTTTTCTCACAATGTAGCCCAACCTTTCAAGGCCAGGGAGTGTCTTCTGGAAGCAAAAGCATTCACTGCTGCACGGACACGCTTGGCCTGCGGTGGGTGGCAGAGGCTCCACGTCCCGTAGGGGCCAGTCGTCTCATCTGTTGAAGACTCTGCTTTCTGGGGCACCACTGGGCGGAATGGCGGGGATGTCAGTAGGCAGGATGGGCTCTGGCTGCTTGGGTTGACCTCCACCGACAATTAGGTGCCGTCCAGGCCAACAGGCCAGAGGGTAAAAGCGAAGGGATAAGAAGCGTTGCAGGCCCCTGCAGCCCCTCGGGGGTGGAGGCAGCCATTTGGACTAAAGCTGTCCGAGGCTCTAATCAGGCACTTCCAGAGGTTCAGAATGGGCTCCGCCTGGACTGCGTGCGTCTGTCCACACGGGGCAGAAGCAGAACCCAGGGGCAGCTTGACGTCAGGCTCTTGGCACAGGGCCTGCTGGAAGCAGGATCCGCTCCGCTGGGCCTGCAGACTTCCTGTCCTTTGCCGCCATTGTATCGCTTCCTGGTATTGTGCGTGTGAGTTCTGATTAAATGCTGAAAAAATTCAGGAATCAGGTAATGAAAGCGGACCCATGATCTCAAAAAACAGAAAATGGAAAGTTTTTTCATTTGTAGTACAGAGGAACTACTGTTCTCTACTCTAAAGGATGTTTAAAAAGACCTCTTAAAATAAATTGCTCCATATATATATTAAAATACAGTTACTAGGCCTGATTAAAACTATAGACTCACCTGTTTTCCATTAAAAGTAAATGTCCTAAATGCTGTCCCAGGGGCCATTTTGCTGATAAAGCCACTCCCTTGAGAACCCACAGACATGGGCTGTTCTGGGAGCTTCCTACTCAGCTCCGAGGGGCCGTATATGGGTGTGTGACACATGCCCCCCTGCACGACGCCGGGCTCGGCCGCGCCCGGCCGCCTGTGTCCTAGTGGTCACCCCGGACACTGTTCTCACCTCGCTCCTCAGTGGCAAAGCGTTTGGACGCGCGATGCCGGCGAGGCTCCCCCGGGGAGTCTGCCGAGATGGACTGTCTAGACGCGCCGTGATGGCTTTCGTGAAGGCAGTGGTCAGGCTGCCACCACCTCCACCCCTGGACATCCTGACTTGGCCACAGACCCACAAACTCACGGAAAGTCTTACATCCTTGGTAATTCTAGAGGTTTCACACCTTTTCATTTTTTATTGATTTTTAGGGAGAGAGAGAGAGAGAAACATCAATGAAAGTAACATCAACTGGCCGCCTCCTGCATGCCCCCCACTGGGGATTAACCCACAACCTGGGCATGTGCCCTGGCCGGGAATCGAACCAGCGACCTCCTGGTGCATGGGTCGACGCTCAACCACTGAGCCACACCGGCCGGGCACACCTTTTTATTTTTTAAAACTACTTTATGTTGTGAGTCAGTCGTATATCATTTCCTTGAGTCAGGAGTAAGAAGACGTATAGCTTTGAGCTACAAGGTGCTTGATCCTCTGGGGCTGAAACACTGGCGATATGAATCCTGATTTGCAAACTGGTCTCATGTATCTTCTGTGGCTGTCCCTTTGGTCCCATCTCTCTTGGTGGCTGTGTGTCCGCAGCTGGCAGAGCCTGACCAGCATATCCCCTCTCCACAGCAAGCTGCCAGAAGCCAGAAGCCATGTTCCTGCATGGTGGGGAGGTTTCGCCGGCAGGCTTGTGTTCCGGGCCTCCATCCACCTCAGACTCCGGGAAATAGAGCCACGCTCATTTGTCCACTACCCCAGTGCGACTGGGCCACCTGGAGACACCCCTGCCCTCACCCCTGGGCACCTTCTGACTAAGTGCAGTGAGTCAGTGTAGCTGCAGAGAGACCCACCAGGAGATTGCTGACGATACATGCACATGATTGATGGTTTCATGAGGACACAGAGGAGGCAGCTGTACGTCCATCAGAACGTCCTAAAAGCCCCTTACACACCTCTGCCTTTTGCCCTCCTCTCTCCCCCTCCACAAGGGTTCCAGCCAAGTCCGTTAGGCTTCTTCCCCAGCACCTCTTTTCCCAATACCCCCGAACAGCCCAGACATCAGCCACACTGAGACCAGCTCTCGCTCAAGCTCACTTCTGGTGTGAGAAGCCCTTTATCCACTGCCAAGTTTTGTTCTGAATGTTCCAAGTTAAGTCATGCCGTTTCTTCTGCGAATTAGTGCAGAGGTTCTGGTGGAGTAGAGGAGGGACAGTGACGTTCCAGCCGAATCCACGCGTGTTGGAGAGCCTCCGTGAACATCCTTTCTCAACACGGCTGGAGTCCATAGGTGGTTCTTGGACGGAGGCCTGGAAGAAGGCAACCCGCCTCAGGCCTCGCTCTTTGGGTGACATTATCAAGTGTTTTGCGTCCTTTGGGGGCCATAAGTGAAGCGAACAGAGAGGGTAGGATTGGGCGCCACTTCCTGCCCCGTGTGTGTTTTCTGCAGACCGGCGATGGGCGCAGGTGTGTGTTAAGACTTAGGCTAACAGTTCTTCATGTCTGTGTGACCTTCCAGCTCCGAACGTCTCTGGGGAAAGGAAGAGCATTTATTCGCTACTCCTTGGTGCACCAGAGGCTGGCAGACACCCTGCAGCAGTGCTTCATGAACACCAAAGTGACCAGGTAAATGCACGACAGTGCCGAGTTGGCCCCCACGCCATTCACGAATGAGCTGAAGTCCCCTGGTTAACGCCACGGCAGTCGCAGCTGCAGTGCCTCTCTGTGTCGCACCCTGGCACAAGCAGGGCCCGTCCACACCTGTCATCTTCTCCCCATCCCTCCCACAGTCCTCGACACGCGTGGGCCAGGAGCACTGAGGGTTGACAGGTGAGGAAATGAGGCTCAGGGAGGTGCTCAGTGCCGAGTCTGTCGAGAGGCAGGTGCGGGGTCCAGGTCGCCAGGGAGTTTTCCCTGGGGGATGGCATGTCCTTGGTGTTGGCACTCATGAGTGGACACACCCCACTGGTCACCAGTGTGTTGCAGCCTTGGATTCTCGGCAGAATCACCTGTGGGGTTTTGAACACCACTGAGCCTGGGTCTCACTGAGTTAACAACTGCCAGGCGTGTCTGAGCTCCCTGGAGATTGTGAAGGGCCCACTTCGGGCCTTTGTGGCACTCGTGCTGAAGCCTGGTGGGGGAGGGGACGGTGCGGTGAGTGTCAGACCAGGAGCTGCAGATCTTTGGGTTGCCCAGCACCCCTTTCCTAGCTCTGCCTCCCCTCTCCCTGGGCAGCGTTCTCAACCTGTGGGTCACGACCCCTTCGGGGGTGGAACGACCCTTTCATAGGGGTCGCCTAAGACATAACAGTAGCAAAATCACAGTTATGAAGTAGCAACGAAAATAATTTAATGGTTGGGGGTCCCCACAACATGAAGAACTGTGTTAAAGGGTCGCGGCATCAGGAAGGTTGAGAACACCTGCCCTCGTGAGCGTTCCTCCAGCTAATCAAAGTAATCATAGCTAAATTTTTTTTTCTGCTTTTTTTTTCTGGTACGTGCCCCTAGCAGGAACCGAACCTGGGATTCTGGTCCACAGGCCGATGCTCCAACCACTGAGCCAAACCAGCCAGGGCTTTTCTGCTTTTTAAAAATCTTCATTGTTCAGAGTATTACAGATGTCCTCCTTTCCCCCATTGTCCCCTTCACTTGCTTCCCCCCGCCCCAGGCCCTCACCGCCCTCTGTGTCCATGAGCAGCGCATGCACGCTCTGCTTAATCTCTTCCCACCCCTTCTCCCACTGCTGCGTTTTTAAAAAAAGAACTGCTGGGGGCAAATACTTTGTTTCTGTTTGGTGCCTTTAAGATTGATTTGCATAAAGGTACTTCTCCCACATGGGACGTGTGAGGGGCTTTGTGAATTCATGTGAGTTGATGAAAGAACCTTCACACATTGATTTCAGGTTCTTCTGTTCTGGACGTTTGGGGAAAACCATCAACAGTTCAGAGGCATCAGCCAAGGGGCCCTTCACACTCATCAGTGTTGTCCTTGTAAACTCTCCCTGCTCTGGGGGTGTGAACTGCCAACACCTCAGTGCAGGTCTTTTGTTCTTTGTCTTTCAAACGGTGTCAGGGCGGAAGTTAGCCTGAGTTCCATGTCCTGTATTGAATTCTCCAGAAGGAATAGGAGATGAAGTTATCTTTCAAAAAGGAAGTATTCTTTCCCCTACTACTACCCTTTCTTGGCAAGTAATTGAAATGAAAGGGTTCTCGTATCCTTTTTGGGGAATAGATATGATAGAAATAATAACAGTATCTGGTTCCTCCCAGCGGTTTCCGTGAAGAGGAGCAAGCTGACCGAGAGCTATGAGCTCCTGTGGTGAAAGTCAAACTGGGGTGGGTGCGTGTGTCTGTCTGTCTGTCTCTGTTCCCTTTACTGACCTCAGTTAGAACTGGAGGAGGCAGAGCCATGCTGAGAGTGATTAAACTCACTCTTTCTTGCCCTGCCGGTGTGGCTCAGTGGATTGAGTGTTGTCCCGTGGACTGAGAGGTCCTGGTTCGATTCCCGGTCAGGGCTCATGCCCGGGTTTCGGGCTCGATTCCCAGTGTGGGGTGTCCAGGAGGCAGCCAATGGATGTAGCTCTTACAGTGATGTTTCCATCTCTCTCTGCCTTCCTCTCTCTCTCTAAAAAAAAAATCAATAAAAACATACTTAAAATAATAATAAGAAACTCTTTCCTTACCTGTATTAGCCTTGTAATCATACCTTGCTATGCTTCCCTGCAGCGACTGGTACTATGCAAGAAGCCCCTTTCTGAAGCCGAGGCTGAGCTCTGACATTGTGGGCCACCTCTACGAGCTGACCGACATCCAGTTTGACCTGGCAGCGAGGGGCTATGACCTAGACGCTGCCTGGCCGACGTTTGCCAGGTATGGTGAAGAATCACTTGGTTTAAAAGACGGCGGGCAGGGTGTTTGGAGCTTTGCAGATCGCCACCAGTCTACTCAAAGCACTTTTGTTTGCTCAGTGAATGCTAAGCTTTCGACTCTTAGCGCTTGTGCATTTTACAGACTTGGTTGAATTGTGACTCACAATGACATCTGAAGGCTGCGACCTTAAGTTAACCTAACTGGCCAGGCGGTATGGGTGGAAATGCGTATGCAAAACCCAAGGTGTTTAAATGTGTTAAGGGACTTGTGTGCAGGTGTGGGGAGGAGCAGGCGGACTTTTCTCCACTTGTGTTCTTAGGGGCTGTTCTGGAGGCTTCCAGGCAGTAAGAGGGCGGGAAAGCTACAGCTTGTCCGTGTCAGGGTCCCCGAAAGGCTGCGGAGTTTTCATGTTTACAGCAGTGTGGCACTCAACACGTCCCCCAGCCGAATCCTCACAGCTGCCCCAGGAGGGAGGGGCGGAGGACACAGGCTCAGAGAGGAGCCACTGGCCCAAGGTCACGCAGCTGGGGGGCAGCAGGGCTGGGGCAGCAGGCTCACTCACATCCAGCATCTTTGTTTCACTCTCTGTTAATAAGGCTTTTTAAATGTCAAATTTCCTATTTTGTACTAGGATATGCTTTCTGTGTAGAGAACAGTACTGAGTATAATGATCCCCCACGTACCAACCACCAGGATTTAATAGCTAACATTTTGCCATATTTACTTCACTCATCCCTTTCTCCACACTTAGTGATTTAGACGTTATTTCAGACTTAGAGAACAGCCACGGGAGTATACAGAGTACTCATCTGTCCTTCACCCTGGCTCCCCAGTGGTCATGTTTTACCACAGTGCTCTGTCCTCTTCTCTTGTTGGTTTATTTCCTGAGCCGTCGGAGAGGAAGGCACCGGTTCGATCTTCCGACAGTGTCATTGCGTATTTCCCAAGGGCAAGGATATAACCTCAGTTCGATGATTAAAATCAGGCAACTCCCCTCAGTACAACGCTACTATCTAATTCACAGACTTCATTTAAATACTAAGAATGACCCCAATAACGTCCTATATCACGTGGTGCAGTTCAGCATCGTGTCTCTAACGTGGAGCAGCCCTCTCGCACTTGGAAGTGTCTCCGCTTCTGTGTTTCATCGCATACACAGTTTCGAGAAGTACACATCGGGTATTCTGTAAAATGTTCCTTAATTGGAGTTTGCCTGGTGTTTCCTCATTCGATTCAGGGTGAGCAGTTAGGGCAGGAACACCTCAGGTGGCATGTCCTTCTCAGCGCATTCTGTCTGGGGACACGTGGTGTTGGTTGGTTTCATTACAAGCCTGTTAGCCACAATCGTTTTGCTGAGGCCGAGTTTCTGCTAAACAGACTGTTTCTCCCATTGTGGTTAAAATGCTTTGAGATTAGGTTATCTTCTTTCTCTTAATCTCTCGCCTGTTAGTTTTAGAGTCCATCGATAATTCAAGCAAGAATTACTTCACTATGCATGTATCCATAACTGATACACACTCACACACAGTTTTATATATTTATCTATTTATTTTTTAATCCTCACCCGAGGACATTTTTTCATTTTTTGTTCAGATAGAGTGGGAGGGAGGGAGAGGAAGAGAGAGAGAGAAAGAGAAAGAAACATCGACGTGAAAGGGACACATCGAGTGGCTGCCACCCACACGACCCTTCCAGGGCCGGGGACAAACTGCAACCGAGATACGTGCCCTTAGCGGGAACCGAACCCAGGTCTCTCTGGACCACAGGCCGACGCTCTAACCACTGAGCCAAACCGGCCAGGGCACATTTGGCCCTTTCTGAGAAAAGATTGCCAACCCACGGCGTGGAATCTTCCTCTGTGTGAATAGACACAGTTTGCCTGTTGCCCCCGTGACACAGGGCCAGGCCGCTTTCCCCCCCATCACAGACAGTGCTGCCAAGAACACCCCCAGGCCTCGTCTGTGACCCTCCAGGGTAGATGCCGAGAGGTGGAATTGCTGGGCTGTGGAGACCGACAAGTTTTAAAATGCAATAATTGTAGGTTAAGAAGAAGATTCTGCTTAAGTAAAAATGTGTTTAGTTTGCACTCTTCCAACTAAACGGGAATTACCATGCCAGTCTGTGGTTCTCGGTCGTTAAACAGAACTTTCTGCGCCGCGGGAGCATTCTGTATCCACACTGTCCAGTGCAGCGACCTGAGCTAGGAGCAGGCCTGTGGCGGGCTGACCGTGAGCCCCCAAGCACAGCGTGACCTTTGTTTACCACGTGGACGGCTCCTTGTTCCTCATTAGCAGGCAGACTGGCAGGCACCAAAAGTTCAGGAAAATTTAAAACAAAAATTGGGAAACACGATGTTCACTTTGTTCTTTGTTGGCACTGGGAAGAAAGCTATCATGTTTCAACTTTAGCAGTGGAGACTGTTTGCTACAGACCAACGTAAAGGTGCTCTCTGGCGGAAACGTGGGTTTTGCCTTCTTATACCCTGTCTGGGAGGACATGGCCATCGCTTCCCATGAGTGTGTGTGTGCACTTCCTGCTCTGATCCAGGCATGTCTGTTCTGGCCCCGCAGGAGGACACTGGCCCCCGGCTCTTCTGCTTACATTTGGAAGCCCCCAAGCCGCAGCTCCAGCATGAGCAGCTTGGTGAGCAGCTACCTGCAGGTAATGCCAGGAAGGCTGGGAACGTCCTCACTAGTGTCAGCGAGGGTGTGACCTCGCCCTCGCAGCTCAGGGCGATGCTCTCCAACACCTGTTGTTCCAACCAGAGCACAAACCCTGTCAGACCCACTATTTTCTAGAGGCCAGGTTTTTATGACCAAATAGAACTTAGGCCTCTTAAAAAGTAAATTCCTATAAAAGCTTTTATTTGAAAAGCAGCAATTTAACATTGTGGGTAAAAGCGGCAGAGTCAAATCCCGACTCCTGCCTGCCAGCGGTGTGCCCAGGAGGACAGCTGATCCTCCGGAAGCACCAGCTCGTCCATCCACACGGTGGGGACGTAACAGTCACTGCAGTGTCTGGTGGTTGTGGGACTGAATGAGGGAGCACCTGTACCCTACTCAGGCCGGTCGTGTTATCTTGGTTGGTTTTGTTAGAAATGTGAATGAGTCATAGCTGTATATAGTTTTGTGGGAAAGAACACTGAAATTTATCAACAAAACAAAATTAAAACAATCAATATAAGCAGCTTTAAGAGTCGAAAATTGACTAACTCTTTACCCTATTTTGTGGTCTAATCACAGCAGGAGTTGTGGGTAAGTGCAATGGTGAACAGTAGTTTACATATAACGTCAGTTATTTAGCAGCCAGCGTCATCATGTTATCATAGCTACTGGAGGCTGAATGGGAAATACTGGTCCTGAGTCTCGGGCGCTCACGTGTGTGGCATTGGTCTTCGGGCTGTGCTCTGACAGATGCTGTGGGGGCGGGGTCTCCTCCTCTGAATAGCTCGATGGACTAACCTTCGGTCATGTAATTGCTATGTCTTTACTTCTGTCCTCATTAAAGCTTTTCCAAAGAGCTCTGTAGCTTCATCCCAAAGCCACTTGTTTTGTTTGTCTCTCCCCCCAACCCCAGACTCAGGAAATGGCCCCCAGCTTTGACCTGAACAGCCCATTGAACAGCGAGGCACTGGAGGGCTTCGATGAGATGCGGGTGGAGCTGGACCAGCTGGAGGTGCGGGAGAAGCAGCTGCAGGAGCGCCTGCAGCAGCTGGACAGAGAGAACCAGGAGCTGAGGGCAGCTGTCACCTCGCAGGGAGAGCAGCTCCAGCTGGAGAGGGAAAGGGGTCGCTCTGCAGCCGAGGACAAGGTTCGCCTCACTTGCGTGATGGCTGAGCTGCAGAAGCAATGGGAAGTCACCCAGGCCACACAGAGCACCGTGAAGGAGCTGCAGCAGTGCCTGCAGGCCCTGGAGCTGGGTGCCGTGGAAAAGGAGGGAGAGGACCACTCAGCCCTGCAACGGCTGGAGTCCATGCTGCAGCACCTGGCGCAGGAGCTGGAGGCCACACGAGACTCACTGGACAGCAAGAACCAGCTCTTAGCTAATGTCCCCAATCCATCGGGCACAGTTGAGCAGAAGGCCGATGTGGCACTGGACACAAAGGGGCAGCAAGAGCTCATCCCCAATGCCTCAGCCCTGCAGATCCAGGAGCTGGGGGAGAAGCTTCAAGCCCTAGAACGGGAGAACACCCAGGTCCAGGAGCTCAATAGGCAGCAGAGCACTAAGCTGGAGCAGCTGGCCAAGGAGCTGCAACTGAAGGAGGAGGCGAGGGCTGGCCTGGAGCGCCTCGTGCAGGAGACGGCCTCACTCCAGGAGGAGCTGTCCGGGAAGAGGCAGGAGGCAACCCAGCTCCAGCGACAGCTGAGCACCATGGAGGGAGAGCTGGCAGAGGTGAGGCAAGAGGAGCAGCGGCAGCGCCAGGAGAAGGAGCTGCTGCAGCGGGAGGCCAGGTCCCTGATGCGGCAGCTGCAGCTCCTGGAGACCCAGCTGGCCCAGGTGAGCCAGCGTGTGAGTGACCTGGAGGAGCAGAAGAAGCAGCTCATCCAGGACAAAGACCACCTCAACGAGAAGGTGGGGATGCTGGAGCGGCTTGCTGGGGAGCTAGGCCCAGGCCTGCCCGTGGCAGGTGAGAAGAGAGAGGCCCTGGTCCCGCAGGACTCCCCCCTGCAACAGGCCTTGGAGACACCGGAGGAGCAGACAGGCCCGCAGGAGGGACCGATGGATGATTCCAAGAAGCAAGGGGGTGAGCGGGAGGAGGAGCTGCAGCAGGCCAACAGGGAGCTGGAGAAGGAGCTGCAGAGTATGGTTGCCCGCAACCAGCGCCTGGAGGACAAGCTGCGGGCTCTGCAGGCTGATTACCAGGCACTGCAGCGGAGGGAGGCAGCCATCCAGAGCTCCCTGGCCTCCCTGGAGTCTAAGCAAGCCAGCATCCGGCAGATGGGTGACCAGATGGAGGCTAGCCTCCTGGCTGTGGTGAAGGCCAAGCAGACCATGAGGACCCAAATGGCAGAGAAGCAGGCTGCCCTGCAGAGCAAGGAAGCCGAGTGCCAGCAGCTGCGGGAGCAGATGGAGCAGTGCCGGCAGCTGACAGAGGCTCGGGATGGAGAGCTCAAGGCTTTGGAGAGCCAGTGCCAGCAGCAGACCCAGCTGATTAAGACCCTCACAGCAGAAAAGGGCCAGCAGGGTCCCAGCCCACCTCCAGAAAATACATCCCAGGAGCTAGCGGCCCAGCTGGCCCTATCTCAGGCGCAGCTGGAGGTCCATCATGGGGAGGCTCAGCGAGCACAGTCCGAGGTGGTGGACCTCCGGGCCAAGCTGCAGACAGCCCTGGGTGACCAAGAGAAGGTGCAGAGCCAGCTGAGCATGACTGAGGCAGCTCTGCAGGAGCACAAGGCCCTTGTGCAGCAGCTGAAGGAGCAGAATGAAGCCCTCAACAGGGCCCATGTCCAGGAGCTGCTGGAGTGCTCGGAGCAGGAAGGGGCCCTGCAGGAGGAGAGGGCCCATGAGGCCTGTCTGAGGATGGAGGAACTCCAGGCCCTGCAGGAGGAGCTGTCCCAGGCCAAATGCAGCTCCCAGGAATCCCAGCTGGAGCATGCTGAGCTGCAGGAGCAGCTGCACCGGGCCAACACGGACACAGCCGAGCTCGGCATCCAGGTCTGCGCACTGACCGCAGAGAAAGAGCGAATGGACGGGGTGTTGGCTTGCACCGTTCAGGAGCTCCAGGATGCCAAAGAGGCAGCTGCAAGGGAGCGAGAGGGCCTGGAACACCAGGTGGAGGCGCTGCAGCGAGAGAAGGAGAGCTTGCAGGAGAAGCTGAAGGTGGCCGAGGAGGCAGCTAGCTCACTGCCTGGCCTGCAGGCCCAGCTGGCCCAGGCTGAGCAGCGGGCCCAGAGCCTTCAGGAGACTGCACACCAGGAGCTTGACACCCTCAAGTTCCAGCTGAGCACTGAGATCATGGACTACCAGAGTAAACTGAAGGTAATCACAGCCTTGGCCATCAGGCTGCACCTGTCTCCTGCAGCAGGACCTGGTGGGTTCTTGAGGGGATAGGATGCACCTTCAGTCACATGGCACATGAGGGTCCAAGAATGTCCTGAGGGCCCAGGCAAACATAGTCCCATCCCGCCGTCATAGCTCATAGCATCCTCTCTGCAGGAACATGCCAGGGGCAGAACACTGGGGAGTGATGCCTTAGCCCGGAAGTCTAAACTCAAGGCCATTGCAGACAAATTTGGCCCACACAGAATTATTTGTTTTTATCCTCACCTGAGGACATTTTTGCATTTATCTTCAGTTGGAGCGGGAGGGAGGGGAAGGAAGAGATAGAGAAACATCAATGTGAGAGTCACATCGAGTGGTTTCCACCCACACCACCCCAACCACAGCCGGGAACAAACCGCAACCGAGGCACGTGCCCCTAGCGGGAACTGAACCTGGGTCTCTCTGGTCCGCAGGCTGACGCTCTTAACCGCTGAAGCAGACCGACCAGGGTGATGTTTTTTTTTTGTTTTAATTAAAAGAGCAGGATGTTTACAAATTCAGTTCGGTGCTCCTTTTGAAATCTTGAAAGATCTTCAAGCCTGTGCCCCATCCCCAATGTTGCAGCAGTCGCAGGAGCTGAGTGGGGCTGCCCACATTAAAGGGGACACGCCTCCTCTGTATTTTCCTTGCAATTCTTTATGGAGTTACCTAGCCCTTTGAGGCATGTGAGTTTGCGACTCCTGCTGTAGTCTCTGTAACCTACCTCAAAATGCCAGCAGCTTCTGGGCCTCGAGTCCTGTGTCTGGCTTTTCGGTCCCTTCAAGGGGCCATTCTGGTAGCAGGTGCAGTTGGGAGAACTGACTCAGTTATCACAGGGCCCTTGGAATAGGTGAGAACAGTGGTTACCATGTGCCTTTGATGCTGCACAAAGGAAAGGGGTTGAGTGAGGACAGCTTTGGTTTCCATGCTCATCCCTTGTCTGTATCCAGGGCTGCACACTCTCAGACCACTGCTGACCCTCTGCTCTTAGGCTGCTATCGCACTGCTTCCGCAGATGTGCCTCCTGCCTGTCACCCATCCCCGCAGCCTCATGTGGCCAAGGCCACTGTTTCCCTTGCAGAACTGAAATTCTAAGTTTGGGGGGAAGAGAGAGGTAGCTAGTTTTTACCCTTTTTGGGGATGTGGCTGAGGGAGGCTCAGAGCAAGGACCCACATCTGCATCCCTTTCTCACCCTCTCCAGGTTGCCACTGCAGAGTGCGGGAGCCTCCGGGGCCAGCTCGAGGACCAAGGCTGGCAGCTGCAGGCGGCCAAGGAGACCGTGCGGAAGCTGGAGGTAGGCCCGGCCCAGGGGCATGCGCCCCGGAGCCCTGATCAGCAGCTGGCCACCTGGGTGGGAAAGACCGGTGTGGTGGCCTCTGCCTGGTCATTTCTGCTCTCAGTGTGTGGACTTGCCAGGGGCGAGGGCATCTGGTTTGGTTTCACTGGACCACTGAGGGGCTCCCTGTAGGACTTCCAGTTCCCAAGCTGAAGCTGTTATTGGTCACTTTTGCAGACACCCTGAGTTTGTATCAAGGTCCTTTTTCATTTCCTGGACACCTGGCGGGAGCTGCCAAGTGTGTTCTTCACCCAGCCTTATGGACAGGGAATAAGTTGTCCTTCGTCGTCCCTGCAGACGCCCTCTGGGTCAGTGATTCTGAACTAAGCAGGAACAGGGCAGTACTGAAACCACCAGCTTCAGGGCCATGACTTTTTAAACTGAATCCTGCTCGCTGCCACCCCCTCCCACTCCCCCTCGAGATCCTGATACCTGCTGCCCCCCCCCCAACCACCACAACCAGTTGCAATTGATGCTTAAGGGACATCATTACAAATGAGAGTGTGTCACACTCCACAACTACAGAACAAAGGTTCTCGGCCTCTTGACCTTGGAAACAAACAAAAGTCCTTCCAGTTAGAAGTGACCCAGCCAGATGGGGTAGAGAGCACAACAGTCTCCTCATGGTGTCTGACATGCTTTTGCAAGCTGAGTGTCTCCTCCCTGGTGTCCTGTGCCAGGCTGCCCAGGCAGATATGGGAGATAAGCTGAGCCATACCAGCAGCCACCTCTCGGAGTGCCAGGCCGCCATGCTGAGGAAGGACGAGGAGGGGGCCGCCCTGCGCAAGCACTTGGCCAGGTTAGTGACACAGCCTCCCACGCAGCCAGTGGCAGTCTTCAGAGAAGGGCGTGTTGGGTGCAGTCATCTAGAAAGTCAGCCACTCATCGGAAGTTAGAGAAGTTCTTTTTCAAGAAAAGCCACAGCCCCAGAAGGGCTGGTACCCGAAACATGCCACCGAGAACCTGGCTGGCTGCCTGTCGCGGCCCAGTAGGCAACGGGGCCTTTCTCCTCACTCCACGTTCTTATCTCTGGCACAGCGGATTTCAACCCAGGAATGTCATGCTTTGCAAAAACTAACAGGAAGAAGTTGGGATATAATAATGGTAATAAAAGCAGGAAACACGTAATGCCTGAAATGGAGCAGGCACCGTTTTTAAATATTGTGCATCTAGTTGCCCATTTAATCCTCCCAATAGTCTGATGAGGATGGTATTATTTACCCCCATTGTATAGATGGGGAAAATGAGGCTCAGAAGAGTTAAGTGACCTTCCCAGGGTCAGACAGTATGTAAGCAATGGTAGGAGGATTAGAACCCAGACCATTTGGCTCCAGAGTGTGTTTTCTCAACAACTGCCCTAAAAAGTATACAGACAGACAGTTTTGTGTTCTGTCTTACTGTAGGGTCCTGGTGTGTGTGTGTGTGCGTGTGTGTGTGTGCGCGCGTGTGTGCGCGTGTGTGTGCGCGTGTGCGTGTTTCCCCGCTATGGAGCTGGCTTGAGCTCTCCTCTCTCAAGCTGGTCCTGAGCGGGTGAGTGTGCTAGGGACCCGGGCCGGCTTGTGTTCCTGCAGCCTGTCTGGTGCTGTGAGAGCACATCATGCTGTCACCCTGGGGTTTCTTTTTAATCTTATGGTTTGGGCCTCTGTGTGGCCAGCCCCCAGGCCTTGTCTTCAGGCTTGGGGCCACCTGAAGTGTGAACACAAGCCCACATCTGGTGATGAACCAAGATAGTTAGTTGTACAGGGGCCTGATTGAAACAGGAGATGCTAGGACCGAATGGCATGTGTGTCCCCCACAAAGGCAGGCACCCAGACTGTGTCAAGGGTTTTATTTTTCTACCCACCCCTCCTCCAACCCTCCTTGGAGGCCTGGGCCCCAGCCCACAGGAGAGCCTGAGCTTGTCGGGCGGTCAGTGGCCTGGATGTGCATTTCTTCTCTCTGACTCCTGCCTGCCGTGAGCCAGGCTATGTTCACTGGCGGTTTAAACAGAACTTCCTCAGTTGGTGATGTGTTTTTTAAAATGCTGTAACAGTGGCTGTTTGTGAGATTTCAGAGCCATTGTTTTAGCTGCTCCAAATTGCTTAATCCTTTAGCCCAGGATTGGATTTTATGTTGCTCATTGTGTGAAGAAACCATGGCAGCGTGTGTGTACCCATGAGATCAGTGGGCAGAGTCTAGTAAATAACCAGCTGACAACATTGTACTGGACTTGAAAAGGCTGGGAGGGATACCATTTAGTCCATCTCTGCAGAGCCCTGTGTGTACTGGAGCTTTACAAACGTCTTGCTGGGCTCGGGGGTTCATAGAGCATCTTTGGAAAACCACTCCTGAGGGGATAGCCGAGCTGAAAGAGGGGCGCACGGCCGGGCAGCAGCTCAGCTCAGCCAGCTCCCTCCGCTGAGCTGTCAGGAGCACACACGGCCGTGCGGATGGAGGGCCTGCCGTGTGCCTGACGTGTGCCTGGCACCAGGCCCCGAGTGTAGACTCACAGAGACACGTGGAAGACTGCCCTCCGTGTGGTCACCTCCAGGAGCCTGTGCCCCTCTCTCTTTTCTATCCTGACTCCTTTTACTTTTGCAAATACTCTCCATTGCTAACCCCCGAGCCTTGCTCTGTGGGCTCCTTTTAAAACCTCTGTCCCTGCCCAGGGTTCAGTTCAACCTGGGGTGCTCCCGATGCCCCTTGCATCTGTGTGGGTTGTGGTGAAGAGTGGTGTGTGAGAGGGGTCTTCGGGGCGAGAGGAGTGCACCACCTGCGAGCAGGAAGTAGCGAGAGGCCCCTTCCCTGTGGGGGGGAGGCTGGGAGAGAGCGGGACCCCTCAGTAGAGGCCTTGTGAGCCCAGAGGCACAGGGGAAGCTGGCAGGAGTGGGCAGTCAGGAAACTCACCACTCTTCCTCCAGGACCCAGGAGGAGCTTGAAAAAGCCATGACACAAATCCAAGAGTATTGCAGCAAACTCTGCCAGGAGGTGACAGACCGGGAGAAGAATGACCAGAAGATGCTGGCTGACCTCGATGACCTGAATAGAACCAAGAAGTACCTGGAGGAACGGCTGATAGAGCTGCTGAGGTGAGTGTACGGGTAGGGGTCAGCAGGTGCCCAGGTTCACCCCCAAGCTTGGTGTTTCTTTAAGAAATGCAAATGTTCTTTAAGGGACTCTTCATGGGAAATGGCCCTCCCCCCTTTGCCCCTCCCCCACCTCCACTCACATACAGGTTCTGCTCAGGTGCTTGGCAGCCTTGTAAGAGTGGATTTCAGTGTCCCACCGGTGCTCCCCGGGTTTGCGTTTCCATGTTGCTGTGTAATCATTTTCAGAATCTGTGCTTCGCCACAAGAGCGGTGGTACTGCCTCACGGAACCTCCTGCCCTTGCCCCTGCCCTCTTTTCTGAGCCCCGCCTCCTTCCCATCGCTCTCCCAGGGCTGGAGCAGATATCAGGGCCAGCGCAGGTGCGAGGCAGCCTGAGGGGGCCTGGAGACACCGGCCAGCGCAGGTGTGAGGCAGCCAGTGGGGGCCTGGAGACACTGGCCAGCGCAGGTGTGAGGCAGCCCGCGGGGGCCTGGAGACACCGGCCAGCGCAGGTGCGAGGCAGCCCACGGGGGGCCTGGAGACACCGGCCAGCGCAGGTGCGAGGCAGGTGTGAGGCAGCCAGTGGGGGCCTGGAGACACCGGCCAGCGAAGGTGTGAGGCAGCCAGTGGGGGCCTGGAGACACCGGCCAGCGCAGGTGAGAGGCAGCCAGTGGGGGCCTGGAGACACCGGCCAGCGCAGGTGAGAGGCAGCCCGCGGGGGCCTGGAGACACCGGCCAGCGCAGGTGTGAGGCAGCCCGCGGGTGCCTGGAGATACCAGCCAGCTCAGGTGCGAGGCAGCCCACAGGGGCCTGGAGACACCGGCCAGCACAGGTGTGAGGCAGCCAGTGGGGGCCTGGAGACACCGGCCAGCGCAGGTGCGAGGCAGGTGCGAGGCAGCTCGCGGGGGCCTGGAGACACCGGCCAGCGCAGGTGCGAGGCAGGTGCGAGGCAGCTCGCGGGGGCCTGGAGACACCGGCCAGCACAGGTGTGAGGCAGCCCGCAGGGGCCTGGAGACACTGGCCAGCGCAGGTGCGAGGCAGCCCGCGGGGGGCCTGGAGACACCGGCCAGCGCAGGTGCGAGGCAGGTGCGAGGCAGCCCACGGGGGCCTGGAGACACTGGCCAGCGCAGGTGCGAGGCAGGTGCGAGGCAGCCCTCGGGGGCCTGGAGACACCGGCCAGCGCAGGTGCGAGGCAGGTGTGAGGCAGCCCTCGGGGGCCTGGAGACACCGGCCAGCTCAGGTGCGAGGCAGCCCGCGGGGGCCTGGAGACCCGGAGGCACAGCGAGCCCCTCTGCCAGCCGCCACACAGGCCTCGAGCCCAGAGCTACCGCCTTAATCCTTAGAAGGGGAAATCCTGATTTTTTTATGTGAAATTGCTCTCTGTTTTTTAAGTGCTTAACTTTTTATTCATTTTTTTTAAATATTGTTGTTAATCCTCACCCGAGGATATTTTTTTCCATTCATTTTTAGAGAGAGTGGAAGGGAGGGAGAGAGGGATATATATATATATATATATATAGAGAGAGAGAGAGAGAGAGAGAGATTGATTTCTTCCTGCACATGCCCCCTTCTGGGGCCAGGGATTGAACCTGCAATCTGAACGTGCCCTTGACCGGGAATCGAACTCGCAACCCTTCGGTCCTCGGGCCGATGCTCTAACTGCTGAGCACACTGGCCAAGGCAAAACTGTCTTAACTTTTAAACACTGGCAAAAATTTTTTTTAAACACGTTAAAATTTTAAAACTTTTTCTGACAAAATTTTCAAATACACAAACAACACAGCGAGGCACACCCTGCGCACCTGTGCCCAGCTTCACTTCACTACCCGAGGCCCGTCCCGTCCCGCCTCACTTCCTCCCACCCCCACTCCTAGCTCATTCCGAAGCTGCTCCCAGATACCACGTCCTCCCCCAGGGTTTCAGTCTGCATCGCTCTCATTTTGAACGACCACATGTCATCACCACACTTAAAATGAACTGTGTTCCTAATATCACGTTTCTAGTCAGTGTCAGTTTTTTTTTCAGTTGCCTTACAGTGTTTCCTAAGCAGGATCTAAATGAGATCCATACTTTGCATGGTGATATTTTTCTTAGCTCCCTTTAGTCTGTGGGTTTCCCCACCCTCTCTTCTTAACATTTTTTCTTTTTTACTTCAGAAAAATCCAGGTCGTTCATCTGGTAGTTCCCATGGCCTGGAGCTTGCTGATTGCACCCCATGGTGACATCGGCTTGTTCTCCAGCCCTGGATCTCCTGTAGAGGGGTGGTTGAGCAGCTCTCGGCCCTGCTGCACACTGGGACCTCAGGGGGCTACTGAGAAAATGCTGTGTCTAGGCCCCGGACCTCCCACAGCGGGCCAGAGTCTCGCTCACAATGCTCCACAGCCTTGGCCTGTAGTTCTGGGCTGCCGAGAGCCGCGTCGCTCTGACTAGCCCTTTCGTGGAGTGTTAGTAGCCATGGGTAAGCACTGTTAGACCGGATGATTTATTTGGGGTTGCAGGACGGTGATATGAGATTATAGCTGCAGTGGAATTTGAAACCTTTGCCTACGTGTCATCAGTTTCCAGATGTGGACTCGGGGCCTTGGTGGCCCCTGAGCACAGACATCCCCCAGGTCCGCAGCGCCCCCATTCCCAGGGTGGGCGCCTGGCTTCCTGGGACAGCACGCACGGGCTGCGGACCGGCGGGAGAGGTGCTGGCCCAAGGAAGAGCTCCTACTTCCTGACAATGTCATGTGTGCTCAGAACCAATCAGAGTTCCATTCTGGCGTTTGGATTCGGGGGAATGTCTGGGGTTGATGTGAGTCCCTGGCTAGTGGTGGAGCCACCTTCCCTCAGGACCTGCGTGGCTCTGGTGCTGGTCATTAGGGCTGAGGTGCTGCTGGGCCACATTAACCCTAGGATGGTGGCGGGGGTTCCATCTAGGAAAGATTAAAACCTTCCCGTGTCAGAAGCCACGAGCCCCCGAAAGTGGCCATTAGAAGCAATAGGAAGTCTGTACACACCTTCCCCAGTGTACCAGGTATGTCCGGACCCTGCCAGACCTTTCTGAAAAGCCTCCTGCTGCTTTCACACTTGCCTCCTGGAGTGACTACTAGGTCTTGGGGGACAGGGGGTGATGAACATCCCAGCAGATTTTCAGGCCGGGACATCTTTGATCTCTGCCATGATTAGCTGTTACTTGAACCATAAACCATGCAAACGTCCAGGCCCCAAGTACATTTTAAGATTTGAGTGGGCGCACATCGTGGTCCTTGGGCTCGGCACACAGGCTGTCCAGTCATCCTGACAGCTCGTGTAGCTTAAGCGCCCAGTGGCCTTAGGCACGGTCATTTGGATGCCCGCACTGCGAGTCACCCTTGTCCACACTGGCCACTGCAGTTGGCAGAGCCGTTTCTGGACACCCCAGGTCGCCTCTGTGCCTTCATGTGTGGCGCCAGTTAAGGCCTGCGTATTGGGCGCGTCCTACTGCGTCTGGGACTGATGGTGACAGGAGACCTAGAGTAGGGTGCGCTTCCGAGATAAAGGTGGATGTTCCTTCTCTGACTTGGGGAATTTGGAGTCAGTCTTGAAATGAATCAGGAATAATTCTCTTGTCTTTATGGAAATCCTTCCATTCTTTCCTGACGTGGCGTCGTCGCAGGGACAAGGACGCTCTCTGGCAGAAGTCAGATGCCCTGGAATTCCAGCAGAAGCTAAGTGCGGAGGAGAGGTGGCTCGGGGACTCGGAGGCCAACCACTGCTTCGACTGCAAGCGCGAGTTCAGCTGGATGGTGCGGCGGCACCACTGCAGGTCAGCGGGCCCGGCCCGGGCAGGGCCCAGTGCCGAGCGGACGGCTGTGGCAGGCGCTGGCATGAGGCCGGCTGCCTCCAGAGAGCAGAGCTTCTGGGCTGGACCTGGGCAAGGAGGGTGCATTAGGCAGAGTCATAGCAGGACACTCGGGGAAGAGTGTTTAATACAGATGTGTGGGTGGAGGTAAGGGACCCACGGGGATGTGGGCACCCAGAGACTAGCAGCCTGGACCCCTCGGCTTGCAGAGACCAGAGGGCAGTGGTAGTACTGGATCCCAAGGAGAGCGGGGGCTGAGGCTTCACTGGAGGAACACAGACACAGAACCCTAAAACCCAAAGACTGGTCGGCACAGATGAGTCTCAGAGTGTGGCCAGAGCAGGGGGAACACGATGGCCCAGGCCCTGAGGGTCTGTTGTCTCTCAGGGCCTCAGCCACACCCAATCCCTGTGTCGGGGAAGGTGGTCTCGGCCACACACTTGATTCCCCGGCCTCCCACGGCCGTAGGAAATACACCTTCTCCCCCCTGAGCTCACCAGGAAGGCTTTATTGGAGTCTCAGCAAGTGGGCCTTACGGCTGCTCTCTGAGGAGGGACAGAGCCGGGTGACGAGCAGTGTGGCGGCCAGAGCCCAGCACAGAGCCCCATCCTGGGTCTGAGCAGGTGACGTGAGGCCCAGGCACCGTCCTCACAGCCCGCGCTTGTCTGGTCCCAGGATATGTGGCCGCATCTTCTGTTACTACTGCTGTAACAACTACGTCGTGACCAAGCAGGGGGGCAAGAAGGAGCGCTGCTGCCGAGCCTGCTTCCAGAAGCTCAGTGAGGGCCCCGGCTCGCCGGACAGCAGCAGCTCGGGCACCAGCCGGGGGCAGCCCAGCCCCACCCTGTCCCCAGCCCATGCTGGGCTGCAGGCCACCGGAGGCCCAGGTAGGCTCCTGCTGCTGCCCTCGGTGTTCCCGGGGTGCCCCCGCGACACCGCTACGCCATCTTGACTAGTTAGCTCACAGCTCAGTGCAGTGTTTTCCAAACCTGGGTGTTGAAAAGGTGCTAAAAACGGAGTGCCACCAGTTTGAGACTTTCTTTTTGATGTAATTAGGATTGAAGGAGAATTGAAACGGGAATAACTTTCTCCTGCTATGAGTCAGGGTTGTGAGCATGAGGTCTGTGTCCCTGTTACCGCTCACGGACTACCAGTGGACCGTTGCCCACACTTGGGAGAGGCTGTCTCCCACAGCCTCGGCCCACTTCCCACCCTCTCCCAGGGTAACCGAGGGCCAGGCGTCGTGTCTGGAAACGACACGTCCTTCAGTCTTCTGTGGCTCACATTCTCTCAGTGGCCCAGGAGACGTGTTCTCCTTCCTGTCCTCTCACTTGGCACAGGAAGAAGAAGCGGGACTTGGTGGCAGCTGCTCCTGCTCTGAGCACGGCCTAGCTGGCCAGCCCAGGCTGCCCTCTTGGGGCCTGGCCCGCGGTGAAATGCAGAGGCAGAGCTGACATGGCGAGGGCAGAGGGGCTCCTGCTCTGCTCCCTGGGGACCCCTCTTTGGCATCTACCTGGATCCGGGCCAGCCGTCCAGGGCCTTTTGTTTAACTGGATCATAAGGAGGTTGGCAGGGCCCATTACCCACATTGGGTACAAAGGCCTGCTCCGGGCGGGGGGTGTGCTTTGCACAGCTTAGTGTGCACATCTTTGCTCATTTAAAATGTTTTAAATTAATTGACTTGAGAGTCCTTTATGTATTCTGGATACAAGTTATTTACAGATGTGTGTTTTTAAAATATTTTCTCCCAATCTATAGCTGGTCTTTTTCTTTCAAAGAGCAAAAGTTTATCATTTTGATGAAGTCTAGTCTACCCAATTTTTTCTCATGGATCGATTTTGTTTTTTTTTCTGTGTGTATCATATGTATCTTTGCTTAACCCAAGGACTCAAAGAATTTTTGGTTTTCCCTAGAAGTTTTATAGTTTTAGGTTGCACATTTGGGTCTCTGATCTATTTTGAGTTTATTTTTGTGTATGGTACATACTCTTAATAGAAATTCTCTTTCTTTCTTTCTTTCTTTCTTTCTTTCTTTCTTTCTTTCTTTCACATGATTGTCTAATTATTTCATTACCATTTTTTGGAAAGTATTTTCTTGTCCTATAGAATTGCCTTTGCATCTTTGTCAGAAATCAGTTGGGTCTTCCAGTCCATGAACATAGTATAGCTCTCTGTTCTTTATGGTCTTTTTTGATTTCTCTCAGTGGACATCAGTGTGGGACCCTGAAGCTCTTTTGTGTCTGGGCCTGTACAAAGAAACCGACCCCTGGCCCCCTTTTCAGCCGGTGCCTCCACCCTTTCGTTATGCAGACTTCAGACGAGAGGAAGAACGACCCTTCTGAAGTGTGTCCCACCCCAGTAGCATGTGTCAGGGCCAGCAGGGAACTTGTAGCTCATAGGAACTGGAGTCTCGTGCTCTGATCGCTGGCGAGTGTTCCGGCGACAGCCGAAGGGCCACTGCACCGCAGTGCTGAGGGCACGTGTTTCGATTTCTGACGTTTCCTGTCTCTTTTTCGGTTTATCTGCCTTCTTCCCTCCCTCCCTGTCGTTCTCTTTTCTTCTTTCTTCCACCTCAGACCTGCCATTAATTTTCCATGAGTGTTTGTGGGTGGGCATTGCCTGCGGCGTCCTTCCTGCTGCGGCGCCGCCAAGCTGAGCACAGGTTCCCGGGGCAGACACAGTGGTCTCCCCGCCCCACCCCGTGGATTGGTGTGAAGAGCAGGTCAGACGGAATCCCGCTTTCCAAAGGCAGGGATGGTAGTGTCTCACGGAGCAAGGATTCAGGAGCACAGAAGTGTGTTTACTTCTCTGTTAGCGTCTTTCCTGATACGGTTTTGATGTTTTTTTCCTTCTGACCAAGGGGCCTCAGTGACTGTAAGATCTTGAAACCTCTCTAAGCCCCCAACTAAAAGGGCTTAAGAGAAATCTCTTAATTTGAGCGTTCGGTTTCCTCTGTAGCCCCATCCTGCTTTTCGGACACGTCCCAACAGCCATTTCTCACACATCTGGACAGGGCAGCCGTCGGCTGGGTGGGCACTTACCGTGTGTCCTGGTGGCTCGTCCTGCGTGGCTGTACCCCTCCCTCCCCCGTGGCTCGCTCCCCATCCTGTGCGTAACCGTGTGTGTTTCTCTTCTCTCCTGATCTGCCTCCGCGGTCCAGGCGCAAACGCAGACCTCAGGTCGCCAGACGACACCATGTTCGACATCATCACAGACGAGGAGCTGTGCCAGATACAGGAGTCCGGCTCCTCCTCGCCTGAAACACCCACTGAAGCGGACTCTCTCGACCCAAACGTGGCCGAACAGTGAGTAGACAGCTCCGTTTCCAGAGAGCTCATTAAGTGCCTGGCCCTTGTGCTTTCCTGTCGAAGATCCAGGGCGGTTGGAAGGAGGACTGGCCACCTCTGCCTTAGGGAAGGTGCCTCAGAACAGTGCCGGGGAGGGAGGGCCCTCCAGGAGCACCAGCGCTTGGGAGTGGCAGAGGCTTCCGGGAAGGCAGTGGTCCCCCGAGCTCGGCATCAAGGCCCTTCTGGCTTGGACAGCTCCGCTGATCTGCTGCACTGCCATGCAGAGTGCCACAGTTGGGCGGCTCACACGCCAGAGATCCGTTTCCCACTGTTCTGTAGACTGCAGTCCGGATCAAGGGTTGGCAGTGTTTCTTCGGGGCCTCTGCCCTTGGCTCGCAGCCCACGCTGCGCCTCTTCACGCCGTGTCAGCACCTGTGCCCGGGTGTCTGCGTCCAGCCTCCTCGCACACACGGGTGCCCTCGGACTGGACGAGGGCCCGCCCTGATGGTCTCATTTTAACTAGCCTCTGTAAGGCCGGAACTCCAGATACAGTCGCCTCTGACATCCAGGGCTTAGGACACCAGCATGAATTTGAGGGGGACACACTTCAGCCCATTGGACAGCCCCGCTGTGCTCCCTCAGCCGTGCTCAGCCACGTGCTGCTCTTTAAATCCCGTCCATGCTGGGCCCCCCGTCAGGCTGTGGGGCCAAGAGCCCCTGGGCCCAGTGCTCTGAAAGCAGTGAGCGCAGACCCGCCCTCTTCGGAGCAGGGCGACTCCCCTCAGCCAGCCTGTGCCAGTGCCTCCTGCTTGTGCTCAGGGAGCCGGCCCCAGACCGTCCTGATGGTGCAGATGACAGCTGGGGACCCGCAGGCGTCCCTTAGTGCTTATTGTCCGTGGCCTCCTCAGGGTTCTGGGCTACCTGTGTTCCAACACGGAGAGCTTTGCCAATTTTTAAATATACGCAGTAACTGCACCAAGTGCCACCATATTCAACGTCAAGAGTCTGTGTCGTGGGGCCCGTGGGAAAAGGTCCGTCCCCCATGGCAGCCGGCCTGGTGTTTCCCGGCCTCTGGAGTCGGGCTTACATGCAGTTTCCACGGCAAAGCTCTAGAAGGAATCGGATGGCTCCCAGGTCCAGGTGTTTCTTGACATACTTGCCGTGCGGTTAGGGAGTCTTTGACACTCTCGCCGACTGAGATTGAAATCTCTGCTCCTCTCTTTCTGCCAGAATTGAGAGGTGGATTTCTGCCACGCGGCAGGTGGTGTGTTTCCTCCGTGGGCCTCTCGACGCAGGGGAGTTGAGGCTCGGGTGGACCTGTGTTCTCTTACTGGAGAGGGCCTGCACCACCAGGTGTGGCCGCATGGGGAGAGCCGACCTCATCACACACCCAGAAAGCTCCTGCTCACTGTGGCTTCTGTGACTTGGGGCCTTTTTTTTTTCCTTCTGGAGACACCCCCAGCTCAGAATTCTTCCCTGACGGCAGCAGCCTGCACGTCCCCCCAACCCTAGGGTACTACGTCCCTCTCTGCTGTCATCACCTGGCATCTCTTTGCTGGCAGGGCCTGACTCCAGCCAGGTGGTGGTCAGGTGAGCAGGACCGAGCTCCGAGGCCGGGAAGGGCAGCCTTTGGCTGCGGCCCACGTGGGAAAGGGACCCCGCAGCCCTCTTTCCCGCGCCTTCCCCCTTCCCAGCAGGAACAAAGCTGCAGGTGTCTGACCTCCGACAGGGTGTGCGTTTCGGTCCCGGGAAATCAGGAAGTGTCCCAGGGAAGGAGCTGTCAGTGCGCTGGCCCGTGGCCCTCGGGGCGGGTCCGCAGCGCAGACCCGAGCCTGACGGGCAGGACCTGCCGTCCCGAGTTTTCATAAGAAGCCAGCCGTCCACGTCGGTCAAGGGCCTGCCTCGTCACACACCCTCTTGGCATGTTACCTAGAGGTAGACCCAAGCATCTCTCGTGGCTTTTTCTTATATTCTCCCCAAGTTTAAAACCAGTCTAAACCAGCAGGGGGCTGGGAAAATAGAGGGGTAGAGAGTCCAGGATGTGTCTGAGCATCCCTGACAGGAAGCTTAGAGAAGATCAGCAGGTCCAGAGGCGGAAGCGGTCCAGGAGGGACTGAACACTGGGTGAGGGTCGCGGGAAAGAGGCTGCTTGGGACTGTGTGGCTGCAGGTGACCGTCGAGCACGGTCCCCGTGCCGGCAGCTTTGACACGTGGCCTCGCTGGGTGATGACCCCATTCCACTCCAGCTGAAGGTGCCGAAGCCTCCCCAGGCCAGGTAGCTTGTCCTAGGCATTGGCTGTGTCAGAACCCGGCCGCCCCCGTCCACGTGACGAGGACAGCTCTCTTGGCCGGTCCCCCTTTCCCCATCTGCACATCAAAGCCCTGCCCACCTCCTGCCCCTGGCCGTGCCTTCCCACACATGCACATGAAGTCGTCTGTCTTGCCCTTCCTGTGAGTGAGGGACAGGAAGAGGTCCCCAAGCCAGACCGTCAGGGAGACCTGGCTGATGCCGCAGACTCCGAGCGCCCTTCGAGCCAGCAGCCTCCCGCACGCAGCACAGAGCTCGGGGGTGGCATGAGGCAGGGGCACAGCCCTCTCCTCGGGCGGAACGCCCCAGTCCTGGCTGTGTACGCTGCTCCGCCACCAGCCCCTCCGTCCCCACGGGCTGTTGTCGGGGCGGGGCTGGGCAGAGAAGGAGAGAGCTGCGGGCCTTGGGCCCCTTGGCCTGCCCAGCCTGCACGCTGCCCTGGCTTCCTGGAGGGCTGGTGCCCTGAACCGGCACCTGGTCCGGTCCTGATCTGCTGCCTCCAGGTTCCGGGGCTCTGGGCCTGTGCCCCGACTCGCCTCCCTTCCCTGTCCAGGAGAGGCAGCCTGCATCTGGGAGCCTCCCGTGGGGGTGCACAGCCGGTGTCGCGTTTGCCTGCATGGTGTGTGTAGGACTGACCTGCGTGTCCGCTGCTGTGTGCCCAGCACCTGGCACCGAGCAGCCCACTTGTTTTCTCCGAGGAAAATCACTCCCAGAGCCCAGACGATGCTGAGTTTAAACTCACCCACAGAGCATCATTGCTGGTAATTGTTTTAGAACTAATGCTTCGTGGTCAGATGCTTGGGGGAACCGTGGTGGGTTTGTCACCAGCCAGGTGATTTCATGCCGTGTGTCTCAGAAACAAAATAAGAACAGGATATGGTGATGATGGTTAAGGCTGGAAAACCACGTTGCGCTTGGGTTAACTCAGCATCTCTGCTTCCGGATGAGTGGAGCTGGCAGGCACCTGGGGCCCTTCGGCGGCTTGAACCCTCTCTCACCAACACTTGGGGGCAGAGAGAGAGTCTTCCCTGGGTGGGCTTCCTCTCTGCAGCAAGGTGTTGGCAGTGCCCGTGAATCATGGACCGGGCATGTGGAGAGGGGCGCTGCCTTGGAGGGCGGGGGGGGGGGGGGGGGGACAAAAGCTAGCGTGGTGCCTGCCTGCCCTGGGCCTCATGGTCTTGGCTCCGCCTCTACCCCCAGTAGAGGCGGCCTCAGGCTTGTCTCTCCTACAGCACCATCCCCTCAGTCCAGAATGCGCATGATCACCTGGGCTTCTCTCAGGGAGCCTCTGAAACCAGGGCCACCTGTGTTCACACGGGGCCCTGCGTCCATCTGTGGTCTCTGCGTCCATCTGTGGTCTCTGCCAGGTGTGGGAAGCATGGTCGGGGAAGAGCACTTTCTCTAACCCCGGACCCTGAGGCCACACCCAGGGCAGACTGGACTCCCCGGGGCCACGCTCCTCTGGCCCTGCCCCCCGTGCTGTGCTGGTGTGAGTGAGTGAGGGAGCACCGAGGGGGAGACTGGACTCCCCGGGGCCCACGCCCCTCTGGCCCTGCCCCCCGGCCTGTGCCGTGCTGTGCTGGTGTGAGTGAGCCAGGGAGCACCGAGGGGGAGACTGGACTCCCCGGGGCCCACGCCCCTCTGGCCCTGCCCCCCGGCCTCTGCCGTGCTGTGCTGGTGTGTGTGAGCGAGGGAGCACCGAGGGGGGAAGAGCAGGTCTGAGGTTGGGGACTCAGACTGCACGGCTGTTGTGTGGATGGAATGAAGTCGGGACGCAAAGCCCTGTGGCCTGGGTGGGCTGTGCCAGTGTCTGTGCCAGTAATGAATGGCATGTACCCAGGGGAGGAACTGGAAAGTCATCTACTCCTAGGTGTGACAGGGAAGGGCCCAAAGACTGTAGGACCAATGAGTGACTGATGAGGCGGAAGGTGAAGGGACATTCAGCTGCTGTGCTATTCTTGGGGACAGATGGGCAGGGTTCTCAAGCCGCAGAAGAGCCTGGGGTGGGTACAGTCTGGCAGGTGCCTGGTCTCATTTCACTCAGCCAGGCAGGTACCTGGCCGAGGAGGAGCCAGCGGCCCCAGCCGCCACCCCTCTTGCCGTGGCCTGGCAGCCCCAGCTCGGCCTTCGGCGTAAGCGTCGAGCCTCCAGGCGCCCCTGGAGTGGTGGGAGAATAGGCCGGGGAGCCGAGTGCTTCCCCGAAAGGCACAAGGCGGAGCTGCCACCGAGCCAGTGTCGGAGTGACCCAGAGCCCTGCCTTCCCGTCCCCAGACCACTCCCTCCATGGGAACCTGGGAGATGCTGCAGGGCCCGGGCCGGCTCTTCTCTCCTTTATCCGGTGCGGGCCTGGGCCGGAGAGCTCGACAGAAGGCAAGTGCAGGGGAGAGGACAGGGACGCCCCGTCGAAGCCACTCCGAAGAAGACAGGCCGGCCTTGCCAGCAGGAGAGGAGCAGGCTTGTTTGAGGACGGGCGCTGGCCCGCGTGCCCGCGCAGGGAAGAGACTCCTTGTGGGCTTAGACGCTTCGGTGAAACAGGGTGAATTACGTGGCCCTGCAAGGCCCGACCTCTCGGCTGGGCCAGCGTGCGTGTGGCCTGCTGTGCCTCCCTGGAGGGCACGGAGCAAGCCTGCCACACCTCACCACTCGGCCAGCTTCCATCTCGTGGTGTTCGTTCTTTGTTGTTGTTTTAAATTTATTGGGGTGACATCGGTTAATGAGATTATATGCTTCAAGTGTACGGCTGCGTAATACAGCATCTGTATATCACATGTGTGCTCATCCCCCAAAGTCTCTCCTGTGCTCATGTATTGACCCCCTTACCCTCTTCAACCCTCCCATGCCTGCCCCCCCCTCGGGAACCACCATACTGTTGTCTGTGTCAGTGAACTTTTTTGTTTGTTTCTTTTGTTCATTCATTTGTTGCTTTCTGTTTTATATCCCACATCATGAGTGAATTCATGATTCTTGTCCTTTTCCATGTGACTTATTTTGCTTAGCATGGTACTCTCAGGATCCGTCCATGCTGTCGCAAATGTCAGTATTTCATCTTTTCTCCTGGCTAAGTAGTACTGCTAGTTCTTGTGAGAAAGAGCAAGAACTCCTGCAGCTTTGGGGCCCTCCAACCCATGAGTGCAAACTGCTAGGCACTTCGTATGCGTGGTGTCAGGCCCGCACGCCGGCCCTGAGAGGTCAGCAGTATCAGGTTCCATGTTTCACCAAAACAAAAGAGGTGAAGAGATTACCAGCTGGTCTTACCAACTAGTGAGGAACAGAGCTGCAGCTCAACTCCGGTTTATCTGAACCTCAAAACCACATGATCTAGCCAGTTCTGGCCTATGTAGCTGTTGTCAGCTGGTCCTCCGTAAGCTGTGAGTGATTCGTGACTCATGAACCAAAGAGGCAACTTTCAGCCTATTGAGCAGATAGCTAGGGTCTAATAGACACGCACAGTGTCTGACATTTAAAACTCTGCCACACTATGGAGGTTAAACGAATGCACCTCACATTTCGGGCAGGACATTGCAAACCACAGACAAGGAGCTGAGGGTTTTCATTGGTCTATTCTACCTCCTCGGTAGAAAGTTTGCAATTGTAACTTATTTCTTGTGCTCTGGCCCATAAGTAATTTCCCGACAAGTTCCAGGCATTAAAGTAGAAGCTGCCTAAGGGATCCAAGTGGTTTGGAGACTTTTAAAACGTTTTATTTCTTAGTTAGGAAAATCATACACTGTTTGATATGTGTGTAGAAATGAGAATTATATATACATAAAGGGTGTGTGTGTGTGTGTGTGAGAGAGAGAGAGAGAGAGAGAGGGGAGGGGGGGGGCATAGGATAACTCAGTTTTAAAATGAGCAGACCCACCAAAGACTCCAGTTTAGAAAGACTTCTTTGATTCATGATATTCTCAGACTCGGCTGTGCGGCTTTCTAGCATTTTCTGGAATTCTCGACCGACTACTTATTTGGGCCCATTCACATTCCCTGCTGCCAGTCTTCCAGGATGAATCACAGGGAACAGCAGCATCCACCTGTGTAGAAGTCAAGCCAAAGGGGAGGCGGAAGCTGACCTCGTTTGCGAGGGGCCTGGTGAGGGGTCCGAGCCGTAGGGCCGGCACTTGTTTTCATGGCTGCGTCATCACGGCTGCGTCCCAGTTGCCCAGAGAATCTTCCATGGCACCTGCTGTCAGCCGTGCTCCCTCTTCACCCTCAGTCTGTCTCAGTGAAGGGGGACCCAAGGGCTCTAGTCCCACGTCATTTTCCTGGTGTCGGAACTGTTGGGGTGGAAGAGGAAATCCCTACAGGTCTCCACTGCCCTTCGAGCTTTAGGCTCGTGTGCTCAAGGAGCCGACAGGTGTGTGCATGCCTGAGAAGAAGCATTCCACACCAGCTGCAGCGTTGGGTTCCTTCCCCACGAAAATGCACAAGCGATAGACAAAGCCTTCCTGGCCGCAGCAGCGGACACAGCTGCCTGTGCTCCCGCAGGCCCCTGAGCAGCCTCTCCACGCCTGCCAGGCTACAGCTGGACCATGCTGGTGGCCTCCGCGTTCTGGGAGGCGGAGCACGTCTTGGAAAAGTCCTCTAGAGACTTCTGCCGGCTCGAGATTCCCAGGTAAGGGAGGCAGCCAATGTCTTTCCCAAGTTTCCAGAAGTTCTTCCGAAACTTCAGGCTAACGAAGGCATAGAGCACAGGGTTCAGGCAGGTCCGCAGGTAGGCAATGGCCTCCGTCACCATGGTGGCAGAGCTGAAGCTGGTCATGGCGTGGTACTCCCAGCTCGTGCTGCCTACGAGCTTCACAAGGTTGTAGGGCGTCTGGGTCAGCAGGAACACAGCCAGCACCAGGAAGATGATCTTGAGGGACTTGTGGTTCTGGAAGCCTCGGGCATGAAGCAGGGTCTTGATTATGACTGAGTAGCAGACAATCATGATGAACAGTGGCAGGAAGAACCCCAGAGTCATCTGGGTGGCAAGAACCACGGTGGAAATCACCTCGGAGTAACCACAGACACAGAAGTCTAAACAGTTGACATGGCCGTAGATGATCTGCGGCAAGGAAATCAGCAGGGAGACCACCCACGTGGACACGCAGACGGCCTTGCCCCAGCTCATCCACTTGGCCTTCTGGTTATAGGCTTTTGTGGCCCGAACCACCGCAATGAAGCGGTCCACAGTGATGCAGATGAGAATGAGCATGGACGTGTAGAAGTTCAAAGTATAGATGCCCAGCAGGATTTGGCACATGATCTTGCCAAAGACCCATTCATGGGTGACTGTGTAGGCCCAGAAGGGCAGAGTGCAGACAAACACCAGGTCAGCCAGAGGCAAGTTCATCAGGAACACGTCTGTCAGGCTCTTCTGCTTCTGGTAGAAGATGTATATGACCAACACCAGGGAGTTCCCCACCAGGCCACAGATGAACACGGTCAGGTACATGCAGGGCAGAAAGAGCTTCTTGAACTGCAGGAAGTTTTCGTGCTCTTGCCTGTTGTTGTTGGAAATGTTGAGCGCATGATCTCCGTAATAGTTGTAGTCATCCATAGTGTCTGTTCTGATGAACACCTGTGAGTCAAAGCACAGAATTCTATTTGGGCTGAGGCTTCACACCTCCTGTCTTCCCACTGTCCTGTCGCCCACATTGAGGGGCAAATAATCAAGTCCTAAGCCCACCACTGTTCAGCTCCGTGCCAGCACAGTCTGGTTCGCTGGAGAGAGGCAGTTCAATGGGGAAATGGCTCAGATGGGACAAGGAATTCTTCCTTAGTCCTAAAATTCTCATGATCTCACTCACGTGGGAGACCACACACATTCCATAAATCCTGTGCTGACTTTGACATCAAAGGGCACCTGTGTGATGGGCACAGTGCCCTCTGGAAGGGCAGCACAGCAGGGCCTGTCTGCACCTGCCATCCTGTGCCCCATCTGCTCTGAAGTGGACCCCTGAACCGCTTGTGGAAACTGAGGCACATGTCCCCTCCCGGGGCCCACCGTCAGGGAGACTGGACACCGGGAGGTGTATGAGGGATGGCCAGGACTCTTCTGCCTGGGTGGCCCAACCCTCCTGCCTTTTCTTGCTCTAACTGCATAGGTTTTAAAAGATAACTGATAGAAAAACAAGGCACAGAAAAGCACGTGGCTGCCCAGCACTTTGGCTGAGCGGGTCCCCTGAGCAGGGACTGGGGAGTTCTCCTGGCACCCCAACCCCAACTTTTCCCTTTATCACCTGTCACAGTCATGGCCACCATCAGAGCCTCCTGAAAAATTCTTGACCTTCAGGCATCTCTTAAGAGGTAGGTTTCCCCAGAAAGGAACATGGCTTTAGCTTTTATGACCAGCAGTTTAGGCTGAGGGGTCTCCTGTAACAGACGGAAGACCTGGTAGAAACGGGATGCCAGCTGGGAGGGTGGCCAGAGTCCGGTGGTCAGCCTTGCAGTGAGGCTGTAGCAAAGCCCAAATAGTTGCCCTTTTTGCCTGGGGCTCCTAGCCCTTCAAAGCCTCTACTTCCTTTGACCCTCTCTTTGCCCTTTGACCCCGCTGAAGACCACAGGCAGGGCATAGAGGTGATGTAACCCGTGGCGTGGGCACGGGCACCTGCAGCAGCCTTGACCTTGGAGTGCCAGGCCATTGCCTACAGCTTCGCACACACTGTGGCTCATTTCCAGGGACCTGGCGCCATACCCTGCTGGAACCTCAAGAAGGTGTTTTTTGTTGTAGTTTTTTAACTAAAGCACAGATATTCTTATTGCACATTTCAGAGTAGGAAGGAGACAGGTGTTTGGATTAGCAAAGTCAAAATAACAACCGGCCAGACAAGGGCATGAAAAGGAGACATCGTGTCTCCTCTCTGGTCTGCGCGGAGGCTGCTCCTGGCTGGAGCTGGCAGCAGCCCCGGTGCCGCCCTTGGCCTGTCCCGGGAGCAAGCACCCTTCTCTGTGCGGAGGCTGCCCCTGGCTGGAGCTGGCAGCAGCCCTGGTGCTGCCCTCGGCCTGTCCCGGGAGCAAGCACCCTTCTCTGCGCGGAGGCTGCCCCTGGCTGGAGCTGGCAGCAGCCCTGGTGCCGCCCTCGGCCTGTCCCGGGAGCAAGCACCCTTCTCTGCGCGGAGGCTGCCCCTGGCTGGAGCTGGCAGCAGCCCCGGTGCCACCCTCGGCCTGTCCCGGGAGCAAGCACCCTTCTCTGCGCGGAGGCTGCTCCCGGCTGGAGCTGGCAGCAGCCCCGGTGCCACCCTCGGCCTGTCCCGGGAGCAAGCACCCTTCTCTGCGCGGAGGCTGCTCCTGGCTGGAGCTGGCAGCAGCCCCGGTGCCGCCCTCGGCCTGTCCCGGGAGCAAGCACCCTTCTCTGCGCGGAGGCTGCCCCTGGCTGGAGCTGGCAGCAGCCCTGGTGCTGCCCTCGGCCTGTCCCGGGAGCAAGCACCCTTCTCTGCGCGGAGGACCTTGCCTTTGGGCGGGAGACCACAAAATGTCAGCCCTCTGGAGGATAGGCCAGCCCTGGGCTGCTGGGTAGGTGGGTCACATGAAGGTGGTGCTGCTGCTGCTGCACGTGGGGACAAAACTTGTTTTCTCATTGTTTAGAACGTGACAGGCAGCTTTGCTCTCCTGAGAGTGATGTCAGCTTACTCTTGAGTTTTTGTTTAACCCTCCTGTTACGGCTGCGGCTGGACCCTTACCTAACTAACATCGCACAGCTCCTCACGGGCCGTGCAGATTCATCTGGTAATTAGTGAACTTCAAGAGTGTGTGTACCAGATTGGGACTTCACAGTCTGAGCAGAGTATAAAAATTACTTTCCCACCCTGGCTGGTTTGGCTCAGCAGTTAGATGTCGGTCCATGGACCAGAGTCGCAGGTTCCATTCCAGTCAAGGGCACGTACCTCGGATGCGGTTCTATCCCTGGCCCTGGTTGGAGTCGTGCGAGAGGCAACCAATGAGTGTGTCCCTCTCCCATCGATGTTTCTCTCTCTCTCTCCTTCCCTCTCTCCCTCCCACTCTATCTGAAAATCAGTGGAAAAATATTTTCAGGTGAGGATTAAAAAAAAATTACTTTCCCTTCTAGAAATGTAAAAACCATGCACTTCTATCACCAAAGTTCTATGCTGATTTCTGAAAATTTAAAAAATAAATCTCTGGCCGGTTTGGCTCAATGGTTGGAGCATCGGCCTATGGACCAGAGAGTCTCGGGTTCGGTTCCCGCTAGGGGCACGTACCCAAAAAATGATAATAATTAAATAAATAAATAAAAACAAAACACTTTGGAAATAGTGTGTCTGATAAAAAAAAATAAGTGAATTGTAATTCAGATGAAATAGAGTGTAAGTAACATTTAGAAAGTGCTTTTAGCATTTTGGAAAATGTGATACATTTAAATTGCGTGCGAGAGAGGAGCCCAAAAGGAGCACAGCTGTCGCTGTCACAGCGACGGGGTCGGTCACGGCTCTTCACCTTGGTTCATGAACCCCTCCCTTGGAGAGTCTCAGAGAGGCCACAGACCTTTTCTCAGAAATCTGTGTCCATACACCTGCAATTCTGAGTGTTCACGCTCCCTTTGACTGCCACACACTCGACAACTCTCGTTAAGAATCCACAATGAGCCATAGGCTTTTGACTATATTTTTTTTAAACAGAAAAATGACCAAGTTTTATCAGCAGTTCACTCTGGCTGGTGAAATTAGGGGTGACTTATTTCCCTTATATTTTCCAAAATTTCTATAGTGCTAAACCATATTCTGAGAGAGCAGCCTGTCTCATTACATGCGAAAGAAACAGACAAGGTCATTCGGTGAACACACAGTGACTGTCTTACGTCCCGGGACGTCTGATCGTGCCGCTGCTCCCCAGGTCCCTGAGCTCACAAGCACGGACGGGTGCCAGGCCCGCGAAGCCGTCTGCACAGTCCTCCAAATCTCAGCCGCAGCGGCAGGATGGGGTTGAACCTAGAACAGTTGTGCTCTAAAGCCTGGGCACTTCGCACCAGCCTGCTGCAGGCAGGAATCCGAGAGCCCTGTCCTGAACCCATGAAAAGGAAGACAAATGACTCACCCACCAAGGTGCCTTGTCAGTTTGTTCCAGACGTGAGCTTTGCTCCGCAGCAGTCTGTCTGCCTCTCTGTGATGTGGTCCATGTTTCCGCTGAAGAGTTTTGAAGAACTCTCGGTGATTGGAGGAGACCAACCCATCTGCAGATCAGAACCCACATGACCAGCCTGCACCCATGTAATTTTGGGTCAAAGATAGGAAGCTGTGGCTCTTAGAATACCCTGCCCCCTGGCTGGTGATGGACTCGTCTGCCAGGACCTGAGAGGGCTTCTATTCGTAAACCGAAGGGGAGCAGTAAGCAGGTCTGACTCTGGCAGTCCACCGAAGATAGCATTTGTTCCTTAGAATTAGTTCATTCACTGGTCACGCGTCTCTTTGGAACAGTTTGGGTCTGGACCAATGCAAAGTCCACACTCTGGACTGGGTTCTGTGTATCTGTGCATTTCCAACACCGTAGCCACTAGTTCTCAGCCCTGCGGAGTAGGTATCCCATTTTATAGATGGGAACACCAAGGACCATAGTCGAAATAGCCCCGTGTGCACAAAGCTAATACGGGCACTTCCAGGATACAAACCCAGCTCCCTGTCATTGCCAGACCAGTGAACCGGGTGGCTTCTAGGTGATGGCAGGTCTGCCGGGGCCTGATGCAGCCCCGCCCTAAGCCCACTCCACTTGGGCCCCTGGGCAGGCGGTGCTCACCCGCCTGCTATCCTGGCTACATCATCCGCTTTCCTTCTGCTGCCCTCTGTTCCTGGAAGTCCCTAGATACTAAACTCCTGGATTGCGTTATACTTCTAGTCGTTCTCCATGGTCCAGAATAGCTGACACTTCTGGGAAGTAGCACTTGGAGGGCAGGAATTGGAGGAATGTCTGCCTGGGTCACGTTCCCCAGTGCCTCCCCTCCGTGGAAGGGATTCTGGGTAAAGATGTGGACTCCATTTCTTCTTCCCCAGAAGAAAGCTACCCTCTTGCTCAGTCACCAGGCCTCCCGTCCAGCCTGCCTCCCCCAAGGCTGGTGCTCTCTGCCCCGCCTGCTGGGCAAACCCTTCCTGTGCTCTTCCTAAGAGCAGGTCCTCGGGCACGGGGAGCAGGGACCCAAAGCAGCCCCGGGTCTCTAGAGAGAAAATACTCCTAGGATCTGGGCCCTGGGCTGGATGCTTCCATGTACAGTCATCTAGTCCTAGTCACAGATGAATAAACAGATTGGAGACATTAGCTCACTTACCCAAGAACACATCTGTCCCCAGGAGTCACCCAGGATCTTACTCGCTGTTCCCCGTACTCTGAGTATGCAGCACTCCCAGGAGCCCTGGTAAAAGACTGAAGATGGCTCGTGGATTTTCAAGTCTTTCGAATGAACTAGTTCAGGCTTTTCCCACCGAACTGGTACAAATAAATGATGTGTTCCTGAGGGCAGGAACCGCGATGCTGTGTGGAGTGTGCACCTCACTGATGAAGGGATGGGGTGGTGCGGGGACCTACAGATGAAAAAGCAGATGAATAGGCTAAACCAAATACTGGAGTGGAGGGGCCAAAGGCCCCACACTTCCGAGAGACACCTGTGGGGACACTTCAGAGTGGGCCGGCCCGACACTTTAGAAGCTTAAAGCTTCAAGAGAGGAGCTTTTTTCAGAGGTAAGCCAACCATGTCCGTGAGGACCAGTTCACGAGCCATATCTCACACAGGAGCACACTCTTCTCACTTAGGATCACTGGTTCTCGGTGGGGAAAGGAGGTCCCGACCTGCTGCCCCTCGCAGCCGTGCGTGCGTGTGGGGCGTGGGGCGTGTTTGAGAGCATGGCTGCGTTTTCACGCCTGCCCTGCACAGGAGGTTCTCCGGTGAAGACCTTGCCGCTAAGTTGGAGGAATGGAGCCCCTCGCAGTGTGGGGCCCAGGTCTGTGCGTCAGTCACTCCCCAGTGCCTGTTGTTAGCTGCCCGTGTGTAGTGCTCATTGTTTCCAGGGACTCGCTCTTCTTGGAAGTGCAATTCTGAACTACTTCGGGGCAAGTACCCCGTCGTGCGTCTTGGATTTCCCCTGGAAAATGCAGGCGTTTCCTCCCCTGGGGTGGGGGGTTCAAGGGCAATGGCAGCTAGGCCTGCTGCGCGTTTCCCTGGGAGACGGGGACCGACTGCTCCCTTTTCCCGAGCACCTGCCACCCAGCCCGAGCTCCTTGGGGTGTGAGGCGGACGAGGCAGAAGAGGCTCACTGTGAGACTGGGTGACAGGGCTGTGCAGCGTGAGTCAGAAGATCCAAGGAACTGGGCCTCACACCGCAGGCTGCAAGGGAGTCGGGTGTGGTTTGCTCAGCGGCGCCCCCAGGTGTTGGCTGTGAGAATGGGCTGCAGGTTTGCATGTGTCCGACCATAGTTACCAAGTCATCAGAAATCAAAAGATTACAAGTGCCCTTCTTCACTTGGGTTTTAGGCAGAAAGAAACTGATGACTAAAAGAAAAACTACTAGGAATTTACTTTAATAGTAAAATAAAAGGATACCCCTGATCCACAGTGAATGTGGTCTACACAACGAGCAGCCCACCCTTCTAACGCAGGCTGTTGAACAGAGCCTCTGCAGTGACGGGCATGTCCTGTGCCCTGCTGCCCGGCACGGTGGCCACTAGCCCATGTGGCTCCTGAGCACTTGAAGTGTGGCTACTGCAACCAAGGGGCCAGATTTGGGGTTTTAAAAAATTGTTTTTTGTTTTTTTTGATACGTGTCCCTAGCGGGAACCAAACCCGGGACTCTCTGGTCTACAGGCTGATGCTCCAACCGCTGAGCCAAACCGGCCAGGGCTTAAAAATTTTTTTTGATGAATTTGAGTTTTGATAGCCACATTAGGCTAGTGGCTACTGTGCTGGACAGTGCAGGTGTAAGCCAAAGAGCTTTGCAATTCACAGGAAACTTTTCACAGAGACAGGCTGAGCTGGGGGGCTGTAGGACTGTAATCGGCCAGAGCCCCACTCCTGACGGCTGGGCCTGGCCATGCAGAGTAGATGGACCCCCTGAGGAGGATTGTCAGCAAGATACTCAGGCTATCGGGCCTCCTGGGCGTCTGTCCTGCCTTGGCCAATCCGAACAAGCCGGGAATCCGCCCTGCAGAGTCCAAGTTGGACAGCAGTTCAATCAGAAGAGGCATTTTGACTTGTGAGGGAAAAGGCTGTAGGTTACAACTGCAGGAACCAAGCCGGAGGACCCCACCCATGCGTGACCCCTTATCCAGGCCAGCATAAACCCTGGACTGTATGGCTGGGGCCTTCTCTGCACCCAGTTTGTCTGTGGTCACCACTTGCTTCTTATTTGGCTCCAAATTGGAGCCTTGGTCATGTCCTCCTTTGTGGGCATTTGAAACAGAAAACCACCTTAGCCTGAGGCACATACTCTAAACACTTACTGAGCACAGGCTGTGTGCAGAGCAGGTGCCCAGATGACCACCCTCAGGGTGGAGCATGTTGACATAGGTGTGTGTGCCTCAAGACGGGTTCAGCTGGACTGGGCATAGGCTCAGGGACGGACACAGCAGGCAAGTGTGACATGCACCATCCGCGTGAGGCCACCACAGCTAGCAGTGAGCTCCTGTGGCCGAGCATGGGAGGACGGCCACTTGTGGCCAGAGTTTGACAACAGAAGGAAATGGGTCTGGTTGGAGACAGGCTGCCCCCTAGTGGCTCTGCCTTTGCTCCCTGTCATTCTCATACATGTTTAAATCCTTTGACATCTGACACAGTGCTTGGACATTTTCTACTGCATCCCACAGTAAGGACACATTTCACATGACTACCTGGGTGTGGACGTGTATAGACTTACAATCAAGAGCCTCATGAAACAATGCTTACCCTCACCACATACATTGATCATTCCTATTCTATTTTTCTAATGTTGGCCATAACTTAGTTGATTCACAACTTACTAAATGGGTCATGACCCACAGTTTGAAAATTATTGAAAAGACAGCCTGCCCCTAATCATTCCCTTGCAGACTGTACCGCCCACCCAGGCATACGCCCACCTCACCCCAGCCCCCCTCCGCCCCTCCCCACCTCGCTCAGCCCCTCGTGCAGGGCCTCAGCCAGGACCAGCAGGGGGCTGAGGGACCGCCTCTGGGAATCATTACTTGCAGGCCGTTGGAGGTTGTCTTGTCATGGTCACAGAGGGGCAGGTGCAGGCAGAAGGAAGAGTAGGTAAGGACACTTTTATCCTAAATGCAAGAAGATTGGGAGAGCCAGCTGCAGTTTTCAGAGTTTGTTTCATCATATATTAGTTGTCCTTTTGTTTACGGTGTTTCCACTTTGGACAAGGATAAAAGCAAATGAAACGAGGTCGGCCTACTGGCCTGGGGCCCGTCTCCTCTCCCCTGGACCTGTCTCGAGCTGCTGCTTGCACTGACCTTCTGTGGTTCTGCTTGTCCCAGGGTGAGGGAGCAAGAAGAGGGTTGCAGGGAGGAGGTCGGCGGGAGCACTGGGCCGGGGAGGAAAAGGAACAAGTGACCGGGCTTGCCTTTGGTGGCAGCAGGCCCTTTGGACATGTTCTTGTTGCACCTTCCCAAGGGGGAGCAGAGAAGGCCAAGCAGACTGAGTGAAATGCCTTTTCCAAGTCCTCTAAAACGTACAGCCTTTTCGAGCCAGCAGAACCTGGAACCCATGTGGTTCCATCTCCTCACAGCTGGAGAGAAGAAAACCCCACCCAGGAGCTATGCCCTCTCTGCCCTCTGGAGCCACCTTGAGCTCCACTTGCAGGCAGCGCCCCCAGCAGGGCAGGGTGTTTGTGAAGACCGGCTGTTCTACGTCATGGGCAGAGACAGCCCCAGCTGGCACCTGGGCGCTAGTGGGTGTCTGATTATCTAGGCAGCCCTGGAGGCTCCCGGTGCCACCGTCACCACGCCCACACATCAGCACCCTCGGAGCAGAGGCCCACATCCAGCGGCCTCCGCACACCAGCAGTAGCAGCCAGGAGCCAGGCCGGAAGTGGGCTGGTGGGAGCAGGCTAACGTCAGGCTGTCCAAGTCTGCTGGGTCCGAGCTCGGACTTCCCAAGAGGACGGCGCCCCGGTGCAGTGCCTCCTCCAGCACAGGAGACTTTCTGAGTTGGCAGCCAATAGTCTGACTCTGTGTCGGAGAAAATCCCATTAGAGCGAAGGTGGCCGCAGTGTATCCCCGGGTGTGAATCTGCCATGTCCCGTGTGACTTCGGGTCTTCCTCCTGCGAGGATCTGTTCCTGAGTCTTCTCTTGACTTTGTCAGTAGGAGTGAAAAATGCTCCGTGGTCAGCCCTGGTCGGTTTGGCTCAGCAGTTAGAGCATCAGCCTGCGGGCCAAATGGTCACAGGTTCAATGCCCAGGCAAGGGTATAGTCCTGTGTTGCTGGTCGATCCCTAGCCCCGTTTAGGGTTAGGCCGGAGGCAACCAATCAGTGTGCCTCTCACATTAATGTTTCTCTCTCTCTGTCCCTCCCCCACTTCCACTCCACCAAATACTCAGTGGAGAAATATCTTCAGGTGAGGATTAACAAACAAACAAAAATGTTATGTGGTCAAATAAATATAGAAATACTAGAGTTGACATTTAACTGATGACTGCGGCGGGCTTCTCAGAGCCTTGAATGTCCTGTGACATGTAAAGGGTGCTGACTTCCTAAGGGAGCATGCGCTGCTCCCCTCCCCTGGGGCCAGTGCCCCACCACGCCGCCTGGGGACCACAGGGTGACCGACTGCCAGTCGCCTCACATCTGGCTCTCTGCACAGCGGGCGGTGGGTCGGGAGGGAAGGTGATGTAGTTTCGGTCTGACCCCTTCGTCATGCTCTGGCCCACGGCCTCCCTCTGGCCCACACCGCTGTCTGCCCCATCAGCTCCGGGTGCCTGTTCTTGTTCCCAGAGATGGGCCAGAGCAGGCTCCTCTAGTCACTGGTGCTGGAAGGCAGGATCAGTGGAGCTGCTGACCCGTCCTGTGGCTGTCACTCTGCGGGTGTGGGTGAGGGGGTGGTCCACTTCTGTTATGGTCGTCCTGTCCCCACACCCAAGGGGAAGACGTCAGGGAAGTCACTGCTGCCCTCTTGTCCTCTCCCGGCTGGTGGCCCTCTGCCCACAGCAGGCTGGGCTCCCACAGTCTCCGGGACTGAAGGACCCCCACGGGGTCTGAGACTGGCTTTGTGACGCCAAGACCACGGGCCTCGGGAGGTGGGACCCTGTGTTCTAAGAGCTAAATGGCTGTGTTCTTGTTTGTGCCATCTCAGGGACACCACATCAAACTCACTGACGCCTGAGGACACCGAAGACACGACCTTGGGGCAGGATGCTGAAATCTGCTTGCTGAAGTCCGGAGAACTGATGTAAGTGCCGGGTCCCCGCACGGGGCTTCCCCGGGCATTGCATTTGGGCAGAGGAGCCTGGCCTGTCCGGTGCCAGGGCTGGAAAGCACCCCGCAGGCTCGACTTGGCACCGGTGGTGGCTGTCGGTTCGAGCCTTTTTTAGGTATAATTTATATACAGTGAAACCCCCTTCCTAGTGCGCAGTGCTGGACTTTGACGATAACACAGTGTAACAATCACCAGTCATGCTGCTCAGCCACACCCAGCCGGCCAGCAGCTCACACGGTCGCGGGGCCTCCGCCCAACCAGTCCTGCTCCCCGTTCTGCCAACGGGGAGGCCGAGGTCTGGAAGAGGAAAGTGATGGTCCGCCCCCAGGCGACCACCCCATGAAGATACAGACCAGGTGCACACCCCGGAAGTACCCCTCACACGCAGTCCTCCCCACAGCTCTGCCTGCCTTCTTCCGTTTTCAAGTCACTTGTTTTCTCGTTGCAAGAGCAGTATGTTTTCCTTGTAGAAAGTTAGGAAAGTAGAGATAAGTAGATCGCATTGGCATGTAGCTTTCCAGTCTTTGTAGACATATATACATAATTTTTAATGTAAATACTGTACACTGTATTTTGCAGGGTGGTTCTTTTAATCCTCACCCGAGGATATTGTTCCATTTATCTTCACACAGAGTGGGAGGGAGGGGAAAGAGAGAAACGCATTGACTGGTTGCCTCCTGCATGACCCGGACCAGAACCGCAATCGAGGTACATGCCCTTGACTGGAATCGAACCCGTGACTCTTTGGTCCGCAGGTCGATGCTCTAACCACTGAGCCGAACCAACCAGGGCTTTGCAGTCTTTTTAAACTTAATGTTGCGAGAGTATCGCCCACAGCATTCTCTCTCCCGGGTTCTGTCCGCTGGCTGCAGGACTGCATCGCGCTCACTGACGAGAGCCAGTCACTCATTCCCCTGCCTTTGTGCAGCTCCTCCCGTGCGCCAGGCACTGCTCGGAGTTCTCAGAGTACATCAGCGAACAGCAGAAATGTTGTTAGTGTGTAGTCCAGGAGGGCTTGGCCAACCTTAAACAGGAGTACATGAGTAAATGTGATAGTGTGTTACAAGGTAGTGCTTGCTATTGGAGAGAAACAAAGAGTCGGATAAGAGGCCAGGGGAACTTGCAGTTTTAGATAGAGTGACACTAAGAAGGTAAGACTTGAAGGATTGCCATGCAGATACATGAGGGAACAGCATTCAGGCAGCGGAAGCAACCAGTGCAAAGGCCCTGGGGCAGGGTGGTATCTGGCATGTTCAAGGGATAGGGTAAAGGTCAGGGTGGCTGAAGCAGAGAGCACAGGAGACCTAGTCAGAGAGGGAATGGCGGGTCCACGTCACATCAGACCTTGTTGCCATTGTTAGGACTTTGGTTTTTAATCTGAAGGAAATGGGAGCCCCCAAATTAGGTTTGGAACAGAAGAGTGGCTTAATCTAATTTACATTTGAAAAAGGATCACTCTGGTTGCCATGTGGAGCGTGACTTTGGAGGGTCAAGGGCAGAGTAGGGAGACCAGTGGAATTGACATTTATGATGTGAGTCCTGTGGACAGGAGGCTTTTATTTAAGTTTATATTTGAGCCGATAGCAAATCCTTGATTTGTTTTTATTAGCACTTCCTCTGGGAAGACCGAGTATTGTTCTTTACTGAACATATAGTGTCTAGCACAGTTAAAAAGACTAAATTCACAATCCAAATAACAATGCAAGGGAAGAATTCTGGAACATAACATTATAAGCTGACCCGCCTTGGTGGGGATTCCATCCGTCAGCGACTGCGCACGTGGTGCTGTGCGGACGGTTCACGTTACCGGAAAGGCCTCGCCCACAGGGACCCTCTCTGCCCTCTCAGTCTCTGAAAAACGTAAATACTGCAAAAGGCCTTTTATACCACAATTAGAAATAAAGCTTAATGCATGAGGACATGTTTCATGGAGTTAAATTTTCACAAAGGTAATGACTCAGATCAGAACTGTTCTTTAGAGTATTTGAGTTTTTTAATCGTTGATTAGTTTTCTCATTAGCAGCTTTGGGGGGTGTTTCCATCCATCCCCACAGCTTTGGAGGCAGACAGAACTCTCAGCACCACCACTTGCTGTGCAGTCTTGGGCACATTACCTAACCTCTCTGAGCTTTAGTTTCCACCCCTGTGGTAAAGAGGATAGAAATATATTTTCTCCAGAAGAGGCGCAGTAGAGATGAGGCTGGCCCCAGCCCACAACACTCCTAGGTTGTAGCCCCAAGTTAACATGCTGCCTCTGGAGTTGCTTGGTGCAGGAGGGGGTGCCACTCAGTCAAGACAGGCAGCGCCAGGGGGACTTCCCCATTCACGTCAAGTTCATCCTCTCGTGTCAGCTCCACACTGCGGGGAGGCAGGCATGGCTGTCTCTGTTCGCGTACGAGGGGACTGAGGCTTAAGAGGGGGTCAGCCCTGCAGCAGTAGGAGTGAGGCAGGCACTAGAACCCAGGTCCCTCTGGCCCCACACCTCATTCTTCACATCACATCTGGGCCTGCTGAGGGCGCTGCAGGCAGAGGAACTCGGTCACTAAACCCGCCACACTCCTGGAAGAGGCTTTCATCCACCTGGTGACAGTTCGAGCCAGGAACAAGGCCCCGAGAAGCCTTTTCCCCAAAGCCAGCATACCAGCCTGTGTTAAAGAGAGTCTAGGAGGGGATCCAAGAAGCGGTAGAGTAGGTGGAAATTGCACTCACCTCCTTCCAGGACCACACTAGAATTACAGCTAAACTATGGAATGCTTCACCTGAATAATCAGCTGAAGACAAGCTGAGCTTAAGTCGTTCTTTTAATCCTCACCCAAGGATATTTTTCCATTGATTTTCAGGTAGAGTTGGGGGGGGGGGGGCGGAGAAAGATTGATGTGAGAGAGACACATTGATTGGTTGCCTCCTGTACAACCCCTACCAGGACCAGGGATCAAACCGCAACCAAGTACGTGCCCTTGACTGGAATCAAACCCACAACTCTTTGGTCCACGGGCCGATGCTCTAACTGCTGAGTCACACTGGCCAGGGCTGGACATAGGTCTTCTGGCCAAGGATTAACAGAAGGAGCCACGTGGAGACTGGTAGGGACGGCAGACCCAGAAAGGGCTGGCCCACTCCTGCGGGCAGGGTTGAGATCCCGGGGGGATATCACAGCTGCTGAGGTTCCTGAAGCAGGGGTCTCAGCCCCGCACCAGGTTCCCCATCTGGCCGTGAAAACCAGTGGCGATGCCGTTCTCCAAGGGCAGACGGGATTCTGCTAGAGACTAAGGCGCCCTCTTCAGTATCAAGCACTCACCCTGGGCTCCGGAGGAAGGCGGGTGCAGGGCCTAGATCCTGTGAGGAGAGACGGGGCTTCTGGCTCTGGGGCGAAAGCCGGAGGGGCAGCCGCCAGGGCCCCCGTCCCGAGACTGTCGCATCGCAGATGCTGTCTTTCTGGGGCCGAGCCCGCCACACAGCAAGGGGACATGCAGCGGCCCCACCCTCTGGGCTTCCTCCTGCCCCGCGTGCGCAGCAGGTCACCGCCTGCAGAACAGTCAGCGACCTGGGCCCCGAGTGTAGAGGTCCGGCAGACTTAGGGGCTGTCAGTGACTGAGTTGTGTGGCTCTGGGGTGGGGGCCATTCTCCCCTTTTCCCCCAGGCCTGACCAGCACCTGCCCCTCACGGGAGAGGCAGAACCTGGGACATACTGGGTTTCGTGGCTCCAGGATGGGGCCTGTTTCTCCCTGCACCCCCAGCCTTTGCAGAGCCCTCCCTTCACACAGACAAATCTTAGTCCGTTTGTGCCCAATAAACTCCACTGACTTCACCCTGATGACTCCCCGTGACCTGCCCCACCACAGAGGCAGCCAGCAGATGCAGCTAGCCTTGCTCTACCCTGGGACTTGTGGTGAAGTAGCCTCAGACCCAGCACTGACCCAAGTTTGAACCTGTATCAGTCTGGTAGTCACCACTCACCCCTACCTGGTGACTCACCGAGAGCTCAGGCGGTTCGAGTACTGCCAGAGGCCCTTCCAGTGACTGAGCCACAGGCAGGCAGCCGGAGGCAGAGGCAGATCTGGGAATGCCCGCACCCTTTGCTGACGCCCCCGGGCTCATGAAAGGCAGCCTTGGTGTACAGCTTGGTCCTTCCTGCACACATCCAGGCCCAGCAGAGGCAGCCACTAACTGCGGCTTGTTTTATAGCTCCAAGCAGGTTGCCCAGGGCCACAGGCAACATCTGACATTGGCCTGCACCAGAGTCTCTCTCTAGAGGCACCAGGACCAACACACCCAGTGGCCAGCTTCAGACACCAGAGCAGGACCCAGTGAGCTCCACATGGGCACCTCCAAGGGCTGGCTCATCAGGCAGCAGGCCTGCCGAGGTGGACTCTGCCCGTGTGGTCAGCCCTGCACAGCAGCTTGTGCACGCGGTCAGGTTGGCCTCACAGTCAGCTAGCCTGATGGGCTTCTTTAAGAAGAAGAAGAGGGGGTGGGGGAGAGGAACATATGCCCGGCTAGTGTGGCTCAGTGGATTGAGCATCGTCCCATGGACTGAGAGGTCCCGGTTCGATTCCCGGTCAGGGCCCCTGCCCGGGTTGTGAGCTCGATCCCTGGTATGGGGCGTGCAGGAGGTGCTGATCAATGTTTCTTTCTCACGTTGATGTTTCTATCCCTCCCTTCTTCTCTCTCTAAGAAAATCAATAAGCACATATGTTTGGAAAAAAAAAAAAAAGGAACATAGTTAGAAGGAATAAAATGGCAATAAATACCATCATATCAATAATCACTTTAAGTGTAAATGGTTTAAATGCTTCAATCAGAAGGCTAAGGTATCTGAGTGGATAAGAAAACAAGACCCATATGTATGCTGTCTGCAAGAGACCCACCTCAGAACAAAAGACACACACAGACTAAAAGTAAAAGGATAAAAAAGGTATTTCATGCAAATGAGGGAAAATGAAAAGCCAGGTAGGAATACTTACACCAGAGAAAATATACTTTAAAACAAGGGCTATACAGGTTGTGGGCCCGATCCCCAGTGGGGGCATGCAGGAGGCAGCCAGTTGATGTCCTCTATCATCAATGCTTCTTTCTCTCTCCCTCTCACTTCCTCTCTCTCTAAAATTCAATAAAGAAAAAAAATTTTAAAAAAAACAAAACAAGGGCCATAATAAGAGACAAAGAAGGACACTACACAATGATAAAGGAATTAATCAAACAAGAGGATATAACCCTTGTAAACATTTATGCACCTAACATAGAAGCACCTACATATATAAAGTAACTCTTGATGAACATAAAGGGAGAGATTGACAGTGATACAGTCACAGTAGGGGATTTTAACACCTTGTTGACATCAGTGGATAGAGCTTCCAGACAGAAAATCAACAAGGAAACAGTGGTTTTAAAAGACACACTAGATCAGATGGATTTGTTATCATTAGAGCATTTTACTCCAAAGCAGCAGAATATACATTTTTAAGTGCACAAATTTAAGAAGATTGAAATCATATCAAGCATTTCTCTGACCATAATGGTATGAAACTAGAAATGAATCACAAGAAAACTGAAGAACACAAGACACTTGGAGGCTAAATGACATGGGAGAAGGCAAGACAGTACCCTGGGGTACAGACAGTCTGTGCAATAAACTGTGTTGGGAAAACTGGACAGATACGTGCAAAATGAAACTAGACCACCTTTTTACACCATATGCAAGAGTAAACTCAAAATGGGTTAAAGACTTCAATGTAAGTCTTGATTCCATAAAAGTCCTAGAAGAAAATATAGGCAGTAAAATCTCAGACTTTTCTCTGAATATTTTTTTCTGATATATTTCCTTGGGCGAGGAAAACAATAAACAAATGGGACTACATCAGTCAAAAGTTTTTACACAACAAAGGAAACCATCAACAAGATGAAAAGAAGCCACCAAATGGGAGAACATATTTGCCAGTGATACATCTGATAAGGCATTAATATCCAACATTTATAAAGAACTTACACAACTCAGCACCAAAAAACCAAACCATTCAATTAAAAATGGGCAAAGAGCCCTGGCCGGTTTGGCTCAGCGGTTAGAGCGTCGGCCTGCGGTCCTGAGAGACCCGGGTTCGGTTCCCGCTAAGGGCACGTACCTTGGTTGCAGTTTGTCCCCGGCCCTGGTCGGTTGTGCGGGTGGCAGCCACTCGATGTGTCCCTTTCACATCGATGTTTCTCTCTCTCTCTCTGTTCCTCTCTCTCCCTCCCACTCTACCTGAACAAAAAATGGAAAAATGTCCTCAGGTGAGGATTAAAAAAAATAATAATAAAATAAAAATGGGCAAAGAACCTGAATAGACACTTCTCCAAAGAGGACAAACAACACATGGCCAATAAAAATACAAAAAGTTGTTCAACATCACTAATCATAAGAGAAATGCAGATTAAAACCACAAGGAGATACCTCTTGTACCTGTCAGAATGGCTGTCATCACTAAATCAACAAACAAGTGGCGAGGATGTGGAGAAAGGGGAACCCCCTCGTGCACTGTTGGTGGGAATATAGATTCCACTATGGAAAACAGTGTGAATTTCCTCAAAAAATTAAAAATGGGACCGCCTTATGACCCAGTGCTTCCACTTCTGGGTATATATCCAAAGAAACCCAAACCACTAATTCAAAAGAATATATGCACCCCTATGTCCACTCCAGTGTTATTTACAATAGCCAAGATCCGGAAATAGCCCAAGTGCCCATCAATAGATGAGTGGGTAAAAAAGCTGTGGTACATTTACACAATGGAATATTAGTCAGCCATAGAAAAGAATGAAATCGCACCATTTGCAACAGCATCAGTGGACCTAGAGGGTATTACGCTAAGTGAAACAAGTCAGTCAGAGACAAACACTGCCCTGGCCAGGTGGCTCAAACAATCAAATCAGAAACAAGCTCCGATACAGAGCACAGGAGAGGGGCTTGGGGGGCTGGGTGAAGAAAGTGAGGGGTTGAGAGTACAGATTGGCAGCTGCAGAGTGGTCACAGGGATGTGAAGTACAGCGTAGGGAGCATAGTCACTAATATCGTAATAACTATGGTGCCAGGTGGTTCTGGAAACATCAGGGGAACACTACGTAAAGCATATGATCCTCTAACCACTATGCCGTACACCTGAAACTAACCCAACCAAGATAATATTCAATGCAAACTGTAATAGAAAAATCTAAAAAATAAGAATTCCATTGGAAGAAGAGAGAGAGGGAGTGTGGGGTAATTGCATGCAAGACAAGTCAGGGTGCCCTCTTAGAATCTTGCAACAGACTCCAGATTTGCCCTGAAGAGGGACAACCGAAAGGGCGGGAGGTTGCTAAGGAGGGTGTGCTTTCAGCTGGTGGTCATGACAGGGCAGGGACTGGAGAGGGGACCGCTGAGCAGCAGGGTGGCCACCGGAGGACTGCGGAGGCTGAGGCCTCCGTATCCGCGCCCTGTCCTGGCCGGGGCTCGTGGGAACCACCGCAGCTCACGCCAGCAGGGCTTGTCTGTGTTTTTACCTGTGTCCCCAGTGCCTGGAACTATGCCGGCACAAAGAAAGCGTTCAGGAAACATCTGCTGGCATGAGCTACTCATCGGGTTTTCTCCCCAAATTAAGCATGTGGTCAAGGTTACCCAGGATCCTCCTAGGAGCCTCGGATCACTGGCCGCCTCTGAGCCACAGACAACCTGACCAGCAAAGATGACTTTTGCCCACTTTGACCAGGTCCCTCTCTGCACATATTGTTTTAGGATAAAATTACCCTTCACAGTGGACGAAATCGCCAGCTTCGGGGAGGGCAGCAGGGAGCTGTTTGTGAGGTCCAGTACCTACAGCCTCATCCCCATCACCGTGGCCGAGGCAGGCCTCACCATCAGCTGGGTCTTCTCCTCCGACCCCAAGAGCATCTCCTTCAGCGTGGTCTTCCGAGAGGCCGAGGACACACCACTGGATCAGTGTAAGGTAAGGCCAGCCCCCTGCTGGTGGCATTGCTCACACATCAGGACACCTGGCCAGGCCCTGCAGGGCCGTGGCTGTTCTGCCCTCTGCTGGGCAGGCCTTGCTTGGAATGTTCTGGGCCCCCGCTGTGAGAGGGGCCGAGGGACACCAGGCTGGGCGAGCCCTCTGGGCCGCATCACAGAGCAGGCAGAGCACCTGGGCGCGTCCGCTCGGGGACAGAAAGACCTGGACGCTCAGTAGAGTGAGCATCACATGCCTGAAGGCCACTCCTTCGTCAGACAGCTTCAGTCTGTCCCCAGAGAGGCTAGTGGTGGAAACTTTGAGGGAGACAGGCGTGTGGCTCTGGCTAAGAGTTAGTTTTGAACGGCTGTGCAGGCCAGAGCGGCCTTCCGTGGGAGGCACCAGCTCCAGGGCCTCTGCTTCCGGTGTCAGCGGAGGGCGTGCGGCAGCTCACCTCAGGACCAGCCACTGTGTCACTGCGTTCGGTGGCTGTGAATCTCGATGCCGGATACCAGTTCCTAACCTCCTGAGACTCCTAAGCTTGGAGTGTTGATGATGGCCTGGGCCGGTGTCCTCGACCAGGGCCACAGTCCTCAACCTGGGCTGCACGTCAGAAACACCTCTGTAGGAGGGTGAGGGGACCTGGGCAGTGTTTTTAAACCTGCTGCCGAGGCCCCACCCAGACCACTGAGTGAGAATCTCGGGCTGGCAGGGCACAGACATCACGATTCCAGGGAGCGGCCAAGGTTGAGAACCGCAGGGCTGAAGCCAGGGGGGCAGCCCGAGTGCAGAAGTTGGGGTGGAATCCGGGGCACAGGCAGGGCACAGGACGCGTGGTGGCCGATGAGGGAGGCGTGAGGAAGAGGTCGAATCCCCTCCTGCACCGCCGCAGGGGAGGGCTCGGGATAGCGGTGAGCTGGTAGGGCTGCTCGGAAACCCAAGTCCATCTGAATCGCCAGCGGAGGGAACGGTGGGAACAGTCACACGTGCTGGGCGGGAGCTCGGTGGCCCAGGCCTTATATGGTCACCCATATCTCCATTTTCCAAAGTGACAAGAATCAGGATAGAGAAGAGCAATCCGAGGTGTCCCGAGGGTGTCAGGGTGAGGTGGGAGGGCCCCGAGCTGAAGGCCCTCCAGGCCGGGCTGGGTGGGCACACGGCAGGCCGCGGCCAGCACCCACGGGCAGGGAGGTCCGCATCTGGGGTGGCTCTTCCCCACCCTGCCCTGCGGTTTCGAGGATTGCGCTGTCGTGTCTGTGCTCTTCAGAGCCCCTCCTGAAGTGCCCTTCTGGCCTCCCTGAGTTGGCCTTGCCTCCTGGGTCTCGCGTCCGTTCTCCTCTGAACACTGCTCGGCCCTCTTGTCCTTCCGAGGGCTGATAACCACACCGCCTGCCTCGCTCTGGGGCCCTTCCTTCCCGAGAGGTTGCAAACCCTCAGCCTGCAGGCCTTGGGGCGTGTGGTCCGAGAGTGGACTCAGGGCCACCTGCCGACGGTGCAGGGGACGGCGGCATCTCGCCAGCTTGCAGTAGGACGTAGACGCCGAGCGACTTGCCTGGCCGGCGAGTTGAGCAGCAGTGAAACCAGCGTGTGTATCTGCTCTGCCCCGGCCTGCCTCACAGCCAGGAGCCACCCAGTGCCCTGCTGGGCACCTTCCTGTTCCCAAGACCCACCGAGCACCTACGCTGTGTCCGAGAGGGGAAGGGCGAGAGGGAGGAAGGTGACGGAGGCAGGTGTCCAGGCCTTCGACGTTGCGCCCGCCCACACGTGGCTGAGCTGTGGGTCTCTCCCCTTGCTCAGTCACTCGCCTGCCAAATCCTCGTGGCCCTGGGACGTCTGTGTGGCTCCTACCAGGAATCGGGAGCTTGGGGACCTGGAAGAGTTGTCCTCATCTCTGGCTTCCAGGTGCCTTCGGGGGTTATGACCACCATTGTCTTCCCCACAGTGGACGCCAGGGGGCAGGAGAAGCCCATCTACTGGGGGAGAGCCCGGCGCTCAGGTGCTCCTCTGCCCTCACAGGCCCGGCTCACCAGCCAGCTGCAGGCAGAGGTGGTTGGTTGTTTCTTCCTGAGGTCCCCAAACAGATGTCAGCCTGGGGAACCTCCTTCCAGCTCACATCCAGCATCTGTCCTGGGGACTCCCCATGCGATCCCTGACCGCCTGGGTCTCACAGGAAACCATGGGATCGGTGTGACCATGGAGGTCCGGACACGGGGCTGTGCCGCGTACTTGCCTTCTGTTCTGCTCTGAACGGCTCTGTGGGGCCCGCTAGGGACAGAGAGAAGGGACAAGTGGGGTCTGCCCTTGAGGAGCTCACGACAGAATCAGAGAGCCTAGTACACAGGTAACTGGCTCCGCGTGGTGAGTGTCATAACCGGGTGGGCGCTGTGGGGTCGCCTGGGGCCAGTGATCGGGCAGGAGACCCCGGGCCGCGTGGTGAGTGTCATAACCGGGTGGGCGCTGTGGGGTCGCCTGGGGCCAGTGATCGGGCAGGAGACCCCGGGCCAAACCAAAAGCAGCATGTGGGGCGTGGGTCAGAGGAGAAGGGTCCAGGAGGAGGAGCAGCGCGGCAGAAGGCCAGCCCCGTCTCGGTGGCACCTGTCCGACACCCCCACCTGGGTCACCCCGTCCAGCGTGACTTCCTCCGCACCGTGACGCCGAGCCCAGAGGTCGTGAGTTTGGGGAGGCACCCGATAGAAGAAGGGGAGCACCGAAGCCTTGAGCCTGCCACGTGCAGGGCGCAGGCCCTGCTCCCTGGGCAGGGGACCCGCGTCGGGCCAGGGACGCTCGGGGGCCTGCCTGGGGCTGCGAGCAAGGACCTTTTAAACAGCTGTATTGAGATATAGTCCATCCATTTAAAATGTACAATTCATTGTTTTTTAGTATATTCACAGAGTTATACAACTACCACCACTGTCTACTCTTAGATCATTTCATCATACCCCAAATGCTTGGGCCCGGTAGCAGTCACCCACTCCGCCCAGCGACCGCCAGCCTACTCTCTTTCGTTATGGGCTGACCTGTTCTGGACACTGTGCGAGTGGAATCTGCAGTATGAGGCCTTGGTGACTGGTGTCTCCACTTGGCAGGGAGCCTTGCTTTGTGCCAGGACCCAAGCCCCTGGAGCCAGAGAGATCAGTACACCAGCTTGGACTATTTTACAGGCACAGCGCCTACTTTGGGGCATGGTCTCCCCGGCAGGGGGCCAGTGGGAGGTGTCCCCAGGGATCACAGCGCAGCCTGTGCCCCTGGTGCGTGCCAGTCGTCCTCCCGTCACCTCCGCTGCACGCTGACACCAGAGCTGTTAGTCATCTCCCCGGACATCCTGGGCCATCGACTGATGTAAAATAATGCGAGAATTTTACGGAGTTTGACCATGGTCGGAAATCAGCAGCTGAAATGAACAAAAGTCTCTAGAACAGGATGTTTGAAAGAAATGAAGAGTATTATTAAATACTTCCGAGGACCCGTCTCAACGAGCTCTTGGTTGTTGCTTTGTAAGCAAGGCGGTGGCCGTGAAGGGCGCACAGGTGTCCCGGGTGCGCAGCGCCTTTCTCCAGCGCTGCCTCCTGCCTGTGCTTGCGGGGGTGTCTCGAGCAGGCTCAGAGTCGTAGGTCCCGGGCCACGGAGACAGGCCCACCCACTCGGCTCCCCAGGCTTCAGCCCGTGGACTGAGATGTTATTGAGCATCAGTGGAACTTACAAGATAATGTGCAGAAGTGGCCACAGAGCTCACGCACAGTAGGTCCTCATGCATCTTCGTCCCCCCAGGCGAATGCCCTGTGGAGTGGGGACAGCACACCCTGTGCTCCCCTGCCTTGCCTGCGGGCTCCCTTCTGATTTCTCTTCGGCTGTTGTGTTGTTTAGAAGTATGATTTAGTTTCCAAATATTTGGGGATTTTGCAGAGATCTGCTATTTATTTTTAACTTAATTCCATTGTCAGAAAAACATATTTTGTATAACTTGAATCCATATAAATGTAATTGTTTTTTTCTGTTTTTTTTTTATCCTCACCCGAGGACATTTTTTATCTTTTGTTCAGGTAGAGTGGGAGGGAGAGAGAGGAAGAGAGAGAGAGAAACATCGACATGAAAGGGACACATCGAGTGGCTGCCACCCGCACGACCAACCAGGGCCGGGGATAAACTGCAACCGAGGTACATGCCCTTAGCGGGAACCGAACCCTGGTCTCTCTGGACCGCAGGCCGACACTCTAACCGCTGAGCCAAACCGGCCAGGGCTGTAATTGTTTTTTTTTTAACAGTCTGGTCTACCTGGTGACTGTTCCAAGTGCACTTGAAAAGACTGTATTCTGCTGTTGTTGGGTGGAGTGTTCTGTGATGATCAATTAGATTAAGTTAGTTGATAGTATTGTTCAAGTCTTCTATTTCCTTATTAAAAAAACAAAAAACAAAACAGACATTGATGTGAGAGAGAGAAATATCAATTGGTTGCCTCCTCTACACACCCCGACCAGGGATCAAACCCGCAACTTTTCAGTGTTCAGGATGACCCTCCAGCCCCCTGAGCCACACCAGCCAGGGCCTGTTTCCTCACTGAGTTTCTTTCTCCTTATTCCCTCGCTTATTGAGAGATATGAAACTATTCCATTATAATTGAGAATTCATTTTACTTCTCCTCGTAACTCGACCGTTTTTTGCTTCGTTTGCGCTGAAGCTCTGTCATCAGGAGCGTAAATGTGCAGGATTGTTATGTCCGCTTGGGGAACTGACATCTTTATCTTTACGAAATTACCCCGGTCATATTCTTTGATATAATATATGCTTTGATATCAATATAGTCGATCCAGCTTTCTTTTGGTTAGTGCTAGCACAGCGCATCTTTGTACATCCTTGTACTTTTAGCCTGTTTGTATCTTTACATTTAAATTGCATTTCTCGTCCGGCTGGTGTGGCTCAGTGGTTGAGCGTCGACCCTGCACCAGGAGGTCGCCAGTTAAATTCCTGGTCAGGGCACATGCCCAGGTTGTGGGCCCGTCCCCAGTGGGGGGCATGCAGGAGGCGGCTAGTTGATGTTCTCTCTCATCAATGTTTCTCTCTCTCTTCTTCTCCCTTCCTCTCTCTATAAAATCAATAAAGGAAAAAAAATTTTTTTTAATGATTCCTTTAAAAATAAATAAATAAATAAATAAATTCCATTTCTTATAGGCTTGATGGGGTTGGGTCTTACTTTTATCCAACCTGATAATCTCTGTCTTTTTTTTTATTTATTTATTTATTTATTTATTTATTTATTTATTTATTTATTTTATCCTCACCCGAGGATGTTTTTCCATTTTTTGTGCAGATAGAATGGGAGGGAGAGAGAGGAAGAGAGAGAGAGAGAAACATCGACATGAAAGGTACACATCGAGTGGCTGCCACCCGCACGACCAACCAGGGCTGGGGACAAACTGCAACCGAAGTACGTGCCCTTAGTGGGAACCGAACCCGGGTCTCTCCGGACCGCAGGCCGACGCTCTAACCGCTGAGCCAAACTGGCCAGGGCTAATCTCTGCATTTTAATTGCGATGTTTAGACTATTTACATTGAATGTGATTATTGATAAGGTTGGAGTGAGTATTGCGTCTTCCTGCTTGTTTGCTGTTTGCCTGTCTGGTGGTTCCCTTTCCTCCCAAGGCAGGAACTCAGACAGTGGTCAGGCTCACCTCGTCCCTGCAGAGATCACTGCCTCCGTCGCCTAATGTCCAGTCTGTTGAAAACTGCTGTTTTGTATAAGACGGGGGCCCACAGGAAACAGCCAGACAGACGGATGTCACCTAGAATAAGCCCCCGCTTCCTGAAGCCAGAAGGGCTGCTTCTCTGGATGGTGGGGCACCCTGGCACTGGCCACGGTCAGAGAAGGCTGGGCTCCGCTCCTTGGGGGTGTTGACCAGTTCATGATCCTGGGTGAAACTCATTCCTACCCTCACTACAAGTTGTCAGCAAACCCACAGCATGTGGGTCACCTCACCCTCCTGGGGGCGCATCTCAGCCCCCACCCAGCTCAGCTTTGCCCTCAGACACGGCACTCAGCCTCCCTGGGTCTGTTTCCTCCCCCAAAATAAAGGGTCTTTCGAGAGGATGCATGGGGCCCTGTTGGCCTCTTTGATGGTTTTTCTTCTCTGCTCTTCCTCCCAGGTCCTCATTCCCACGACGCGGTGCAACTCCCACAAGGAGAACATCCAGGGCCAGCTCAAGGTCCGCACGCCAGGCATCTACATGCTCATCTTCGACAACACCTTTTCCAGGTAGGGGCCTCCTCAGCTTCTGGTCATCCACCTGCCACCTGGTCTCAAGGACAGAAGTGGCCGTTAAAAATCAAATATTTAATTATCATTAATTTCTTACTACTAGTTCTTTGATGTTAGACCCCTCTACTACGGTGTTGGAATGTGTTATCGATTTTATAACACACAAGCTAATAGTTCCAGTCTGACTACATGGCAGGTGGCTCTCACCCCTCCACACCTACTGGCTCACCTGGGCCCCATCCCCTGTGTAGGGACCATCTTCTCCTCATGTCACTGCTAAGGGACTGAGGACTGGAGGGGTAAGAGTGACACTCTCAAGTCACACAGCGAGTGACAGAGCCAGCTGAACACCGTGGCTTGGCTTCCGGCTCGGACTCAGCCGGCTCGCTCTCCTGCCTCTCTCTGACGTCGGGTCCCACGGCCCAGCCACAGAAGGCTCAGGAGATCCGGTGGGAGGGTCCGGCGGGCGCGTGGACGGGCCGCCGAAGGAGCAGGGGACGGAAGGGTGGACACAAGCAGGACGAGGGCTGTGCGGTGAGGCCTGGCCCCTGGCCCTCCTCGTCAGGGAGCAGGGCCCGGGGGAAGCACTGCGAAGCGCCCGGTCCGGGCGTAGGGCTTGGGCAGGAGGATGGGCCTGTAGCGAGATGAGGCTGAGCCCAGCCAAGGAAGGAAGTGGGAGAGAGGACAGCAAGGGTGAGCCCCTGCCATAAGCCGGGGCTCATGAGACATGACGGGAGCTTGGGGTTACTGTCCCTGTCCCTTTGATGTCTTCTGACTTCAGCATAACCCTTCATTGCGGCTGCCTCTCATGAGACCTGCCCGATCAGCATCCGGCCACGTCTCTGAGTGGCGCCCAAGCTAGTGGCCACATCCCCCCACGTGGGCACCTTCCAGCCCACTTGGGTGTTCAGCAGAATAACCTGATGGAGCACTCGGGGGGAAGCTGTGCCATCCCCTCACCACCTCCAGCCTTGGACTCCCAGGGCTTGTGGCCAAGGGCATCCAGCAAAGGAGGGGTAGGAGGATGAGATTCCCATACTCCCCCGTGGACGTGAACGTGAGCACACCTCCAGTTAGCAGGACGCCGGGGCCCAGGTCCAGCAGGTCCAGAGAGCTGCCTGCAGGGTGGGCGGGGTCGGCCAGGCACGGGCCCTGCTTGCTCCCTCTGGCCGGATGCGCCCCCCTTCCCAACTGGCACCGAGCACTGCTACCACTCACTGCCCCCGCTGCGGGCGACGGAGCGGCCGAGGAGGCATGTCGAGGGCAGAGCGCAGTTCCCAGCCCCAAGCGGCTCCCAGCTGTCCTCAGAGGTGGCCGAAGTGCAGCTGAGACAAACCCTGCCTTTGCCTGTGGAGTCCGTCTCCAAGGGAGGCAGGATGGACCCGGTGCACAGTCAGAAGGAAGTCCCTACTCACCTCCCCTCCCAGCACCTGCTCCGTCCGCTCCCCCCGTGGAGTACGGCCCACCAGGCTCCCGAGACCCCAGGCCCTTTCGGAGCAGCAGGGGTGGGGGTGCACAGCGTGGGACCAGCGGGCGTTTCTGCACCCAGCCCCAGGAAAGTCCACGCCATGTCCCAAGGCCCCTGATTCTTTGCACAGACAGGACTCAGCTGGACAGACAGGAAATGGGATGAGAGACCCAGATATCTGAGCAGAGGTCTCCCCAGAGGGTTCTCTGTGCCCACCAGCACCCACACCAACGCGGCAGCTCAGCCTTGACCTCTCGGCTCTCGGGGGACACCTTCCATTTCCATTTGTTTCCTCAGGTTTGTCTCCAAAAAAGTGTTTTACCACTTGACTGTCGACCGGCCTGTGATCTACGATGGAAGTGATTTCCTGTAGCCTTGAGCACCTGGATTTTAATAGTTTCACTTCACCCACAGGAAACACTACTGTTCTCACCTGTCACATAAAACACTAAAACAAAACCAACAACAGAACAACCCAGCCAGCCAAGGCTGGTCCATGCTGCAGCCCGAGCGCACCCCAGAGCCCCAAGCACACCCTGGAGCCCCGAGCGCCCCCTGCAGCCCTGAGCGCACCCCAGAGCCCCGAGCGCACCCTGGAGCCCCGAGTACACCCTGGAGCCCCGCGCGCCCCCTGCAGCCCTGAGCGCCCCCTGCAGCCCTGAGCGCACCCCAGAGCCCCGAGCGCACCCTGGAGCCCCGCGCGCCCCCTGCAGCCCTGAGCGTACCCCAGAGCCCCGAGCGCACCCTGGAGCCCCGAGCACACCCTGGAGCCCCGAGCCCTGGAGCCCCGAGCGCACCCTGCAGCCCCGAGCGCACCCCAGAGCCCCGAGCGCACCCTGCAGCCCCAAGCGCACCCCAGAGCCCCGAGCGCACCCTGCAGCCCCGAACGCACCCCAGAGCCCCGAGCGCACCCTGCAGCCCCGAGCGCACCCCAGAGCCCCGAGCGCACCCTGCAGCCCCGAGCGCACCCTGCAGCCCCGAACGCACCCCAGAGCCCCGAGCGCACCCTGCAGCCTTGAGTGTACCCCAGAGCCCCGAGCACACCCTGCAGCCCTGAGCGCACCCCAGAGCCCCAAACGCACCCTGCAGCCCCGAATGCACCCTGTAGCCCCGAGCGCACCCTAGCCTTGACGAGGAGCCGGGCTGTTCCAGGCAGGGTGCACTCCGCCCTGCACCACCCAACCTGGGGCTTCCGAGGGCTCAGGCAGCCTTCCCTATGGTTAGGGACTAACTGTCCTTGCACCGAAGGGACACTCTGCCAAAGGGCCACCTGCTCCTGAGGACACCATTGGTTCCAAGCCTCCTGTGGGAAGAGTTTCACAGGCCAGACGAGATGCCCACCTCTGCCCATGGAGGGAGTTGCCCTGCTCTGCCCAGCCTGGGCCCGGCATCCCAAGAGACCATGAGCCTGGATGCCCTTGCCAGACCCCGAGAGGCCCTTAGGTCCCCTGAAAAGAAGGTCTCAGGGTCACTGCGAGAGCCAGCATGCCAGGGCCCTCCTGAGGTCTCCCCGTGTTCCTGCCCCAGTGGTTTCAGAGGCGCCTCCAGCTGCTCCTTCCGGGCCTCTGGGCGTTTCTGCCTGTGAGCAAAGCCCTCGTCACCAGGCCCGGCAGCTGTTGGCAGAGTCACTGCGCCCAGGAGCCAGACCCCATCGCACGCGGGCGGCAGCAGCTTCCTGGCTGCAGATGGCCGAGGGCGGACGCTGGCCGAGGCCCGTGCGTGACTGAGAAGCGGGGCCGTGCTTGGCCTTGCCGCCCTGCCCCTCAGCGGGTGGCCTGGCTCTGCTTATACAGACGAGCCGCTGCCCACCTGCGGACGCGTGACTGATGCTCGTGATCAGGACGAGAACCACTCGGGCAACGGTGCGCAGGCGGAGTTCGTGGATCTGCTCCCGCCTGCCACAGTCCCCCGCACCCCACTTGCCTGCTTCCTGCTGCTCAGCTTGTACCCGGGCAGATGTTTCCTGTTCCTGCTCAAGGAGATGATCTTTCTGTTCTCTGTGGCCCTCGTGTTTTGCGCAGAAAGCTGGCCCTTGATGGCCTCTTCGTGCCTGTTCACTGAGGCCCGCCTGCCGCCCAGCAGCCCTGGCGGAGCCGCCACTTGGGCAGGGCCGAGGCGGGCACGGGGCAGGCGGTGTCTGAGTGCTGGGCCCGGCAGTCCTCCCGCTGGCCTGGTGGCTGCGTCAAGTCACGGCACCTCAAGGCTTCACTTGGTGACCCACAGGCCTGGTCTGACTGGTTTTGAGAGCTGGAGACCAGGTCGGGGCCCCTGGCCCAGTCCAGCGAACACCCCGCGTGCGCTGCGCCCCGCAGAGCACTGTCCTGGGGCGGGGTAGGAGGAGACGACTCGCTTGGGCGCTTCCAGTTCGTCTAAGTGGGGCATGGGGAGGGGTGACAGAACCTTCCAGAGCACAGCCAGGCTTGTGCTCTCTTCCCTGGACCCAGCGCGGCCTCTGGCGTCTCCTGGCTCAGCACCAGATGGCGGCCGGGCCAGAGGTCGGAGCGGCGTGCTGGTCCGGGCGTGCCCACAGCCGGGCTGGCTCTCCAGAGCACGCGGCCCTGCGCTCACCCCCTAGGAAGACTAATAGGAAGTGGCTGGTCGACCACATGAAAGGAACCAGCAGTTCAGAGAGAACCGACGCGGTCTGGGATCTTGTGAGGGCTTAGCTTTCCCAGGACCGGGGATGCCCAGCTGGTGCGTGCCGTGTTCCGAGCACTGCCCGGGCCCGCTCGTGACCGGCCCTCGCGTCTTGCTGTGCCGCGCGGGCCCCGCCCGCCGTCCCCAGCTTGTTTGCTGTGCCCTGTGCAGCTGGAGGCCACCTCGGCCGTTGAAGTGCGGTTTATAAACAGTTTGATCACTCTAAACAGCTCTAACTTTCCTGGGGCTTTGGGGTCAGGGTGCTTTAAAAGCTGCAAATGGAATGAGGAACTGTTGAAGGGGTAGCCCAGCCAGTAGACAAGAGGACACTAGAAATCAACAAGGAGGAATCATCCATGGGCTCCCAGATCACTAAGACAAAACAGACCAGCAGCCCTTGCTGGCCCCGCTCTCTGCATCAGCCACTTATGTTCAGTATCGTCCCTGCCCGTCTTCACCAGGGCTTTGGGAGCTGCTGGCCCAGCTTGCTGAGCATGGGCTCCGGCAGGCGCAACAGCCCCGGGGGAAGCGGGTTCGGGGTGGGGCGGGGCTCCTGCAGGGCACCGGCTGGGCCCAGAGCGGGCGGGCTCTCCTGCAGAACCTGGACCGGGAAGACCCCACGGGGTTTGGAAGGTAGAAGTGAAAGGCCACATAATACAGCGCAGAAATGAAGGGGATGGTTTTCCTGAACTCGTCCGTTGTCACCCACCCAAGGTGGCGAAGCCATTCCAGGCTCCCATGAGGAAGTCCCCCGGTGGGGGCTGAAACCTCGGTCTGCAGCTTATGGTGCTGGTCAGATGTCCACCGACGCACTTTGGTAGGACTTCCACTCTTCAGTCTCCGTCGGCTCGGAGAATTACAGCAGAGACGCCGTCCGCACTTAGAGCCAAGGGTCACTCTTCACGGCAACCTGAGTCAGCCGTCCGCCTGACCCAGCACCCAGCAGGCACTTTTTAGTGGAAGCTTGGGTAAGTTTTCTCGTTTCGATGTGGTTCTTTCAAGGAAATGGGAAAGACTGAATAACGGAGTATATCCACATCTCGGGAGGGACGGCTAAGGAAAGGCTGCGGAGCCTGGGGACGCGCTGTCCCGAGGGCGGCGCCCGGCCCGGCTGCGGGGCTCCCCGCAATTGCACTTTGCTCGGCTGCCCCTCCTCTCATGGCCTCACGGGTGGGTCTGGGAACCGTTCACGCTCCACAGATGACCCAGAGCACATCAAATGCCAACACCTGCAGGGGGCGACACTTGGGGTCCCAAAGCATTTCTTCACAGCAGCTGCTGCACCTTTGGACACGTATCTTCAAGCTCAGGATTTAAATAAACACTATGACGTTGAGCGTGGTGTCCTCCTTCATTCTGTGGGACGTAGGCAGGCAGGTGATGAAGTTGCCCAGACCCGAGTCGCGCTGCGCTGCTCTGCTGGGTGCCGGGCTCCGAGAAGTCGCCGCAGGCCCAGGATCCGTGCTTCCCGATCTACTCCGGGCGGCTGCTCAGACCTGCCTGAGCGGGGAGCTGCCCTCGGCTCATGTCCCGGCCCTGCTGAGGCACAGCACTGAGCGAAGTCTAGCGTCTGCCTCACCAGAACAGTGGGTTTGGGGAAAGTCGTGGAAGGCTGACCCACAGTGAGTCCACCCATGGTACGCAGCTGGGCAAGACTGCCAGGCCGGGCAGCTGGCAGTTCCCACCGCAGCTTACGTGGCTGCAGCTGCGCCAGGCCCAGTGGCATGTTCCCATCACTACTGAGCGAGTCAGACGGAGGTGAGGCTGGGCAGTCCGTTCACACCTCCCTCCACAGCAGGGCTGCCACAGCTCCTGCCCTTGTTCCCTGTGCCTCGCAGAGCACCCCCCAGCTGCTGCACCTTCCCTCCAGCCCTGCCCCTGCCCGGATTCTCGAGTGGCCTCCTTGAATTAGTCACTCGGGGATACGTTTCTGCATCTGTCTTCTCCCTGGCTTCGTCCACCTCTGTCTCCCTCACCCTCACAGCACTGAGCGCTGGTGCCAGGCTGATCCCTGTTCCCGAGTCCTTGAGGACACTAGTCGGTCCCAGTGCCTTGGCCCGCTGTGGACCTCAGCAATCCCTGGAACGCCCTTGCAGAGAAGGGCCCAGGGCAAGCCTGCAGAGGCTTGGGGAGGGTGCCGGTGAGCTGGCCATCCCTGGCTCCTCCCCTGTACTCGTTAACGACGCCCTCAAATCAAGCCTCGTGGCTGTCCCGCCACCAGCTTGAAGCAGCGGAGATTGGTCCATCCAGGCGCCCGAGCCGCACAGAGGATGGACCTGCCAGTGGAATGGTCCCCCCGAGGCGTGGCGGCCTTGCAGGCGTGCGTGCTGAGCCTGGGCTGGGATCTGGGGCCCCCGCGCCAGAGGCCCCGTGGTACCTCCCCGCCTGCGCGACCACCGGGCAGCCCGGACGACCCAAGTCTGCTCCCGGTGTTCCCAGCACCGTGCTCCACCCCAGACTCCTGTCCACTCGGTGCCGCAGGCCCGTGGCGCTGGGGGGACCACGCCTCTTCAGGCCATGTGGGCCCCTTGGTGGTGGAGGACATCGCGGTCCCCCAGGTGACTCAGAAGGACACTCCCGGCAGGGTCAGCCCTTTCGGTTTGAAGATGCGTGGGGAAGTCTGGTGTGAGCTCACTGCCCACACATCTGAATAGCAAATGGTGAACCCTGTCACCCCAGATGAGAGAACAGACTTTGCGGGAACGGTTGACGCTGAAGCCATGACAAACCAGAGGGAGGGCACAGCTGCGGTGAAAGCCGTTCAGAGTGGGTTAGGGTTGAAAGTTCAGCCTTTTACTTTTCCCACACCCACCGCCTTGTGAAGGGAGGCGGTGGGGCCGAGCAGGAGCCTGCTGGCAACCTCGCCCGAGGTGCCTCCTCCCGCCCCTCCTCCGCGCCCTGTGG